GCGCCCGCTGTCCTCCCTCCCGGGCTCCGCGTCGCCGGCCCTGGGCCCCCAGAGCTGCGTCAACCCTGCCCTTCAGGGTCACCCCCACCCCGAGCGGGGTCAGCTCCCCGCAGGCCGGCCACATGGCTGGGCCAGGAGCTGCCTGAGTGCCCCTGCATCGGGGAGGCGGCGGGGGTGGCGGCACCTGCACCGGGCACGGGAGCTGCTGCTCCGCACAGAGCTCAGCCTCCGCCGCGGTGGCGGCTGCGAGGGCCCCCCCGTGCCCCAACCCTCTGTGTGTACATTGGCTGATGAGCCTGTCCTGTCCGGGGAGAGGGGTCCCCGGGGGGGGGAGGTGCAGATGCACTGGCTCTGTCCTGGGCCCATCAGGCTCAGAAGGGACCCTGTCCCCCAGCCCCCCCCCCGCCCCGGTCCCGGGAGCGGTGGCGGGGAAAGCAGATCTGTCTGCCCCAGCCCATTCTCGGAGCCCACTGTAAGAGGGGCTCGCCCCTTCTGTGCCAGCGAGACGGGTGGTGACGTCTGTCCCCCCTGCAGACACTCCCGCGTGCACGCGGCGGGCGACTGGGAGCGCAGAGGGAGAGCACGAGAAGAGGCAGGCGCTGCAGCGGTGACGGGGGGCTGGGTGCGGGCTGGGGCGGGCTGAGCCCACACTAGCCGGGGTGGGGGGGGGCCTGGGCAGTGAAGGAGTGAGGCCTGAGTGACAAACGGGGGTGACTGTCCCTCCACAAAGAGGTGATGCTAGTGGTGGCTGGGTGCTATGTCTCGTGTGGCTACAGCCTTTCCTGTGGAGCCCCAGCACCGCCCTCCGCACGTGCCCCTGAGCTCGGGGAAACACACCAGTCACTGTTCCCGCCTCTCCTGGCCACCGCGGTCCTTTCTCCAGGGCAGCAGACGTGAGCCCCTTGTGAGGAGCCGCTGAGCTGGCCACGCACCCCACTGTCTCCGGCCTGCCCGGTGGGGACTCTCCCATTTTGCAGACTATCTCACGGGGGACACCAAGACGCTCTGGGTGATGCGCGTGATGGGCTTGCCGGCGGCCCTCCGGGACACAGTCCCTGCCACCCACTGAGGACAGGCAGCGCACCGCAAGAGACGCCCGGATCCTGGCACTCACGCCTGCCGCCGACCTCGTAACAGCCCCCGCCCCGCACAGCGCGGCCGCCCGGGGAGGCCGCCTGCCCGCGCACAGAGCGCCGCCCGCGAGCAGCCGGGGCCGGTGTCCCCTGTGGCCTCCGCGCCACGCTGGAGAGGCCCACCCGCCGTGGTAGGCCCCGCCTCGTCCCCACACGCCTGGCGGGCCCCAGGGTCGGAGGACCCTCCACGGCGTGGGCGTCGGGCCTGGGTGGGGAAGCCGAGGAAGAAGAGCCTCGCTCAGAGCCCCATGGGACCCCTGCATCGTGCACCCCGACTCCCTCCCTCCTCTCCTCCCACTGGGTCCCACCGCCTCCGGTCCATCTGCATCTGTCCTCCTGGCCCCCAGGTCCTTGGTCCCGGCCTGGGCCCGCCTCCCCCCAGTCTCCTGCCTCCCCTCAGACCGAGCTGGGCCCTGGTGGAGGAGAGTCGGCCCGTTCTTGGGAAGGCTTCCCGGGACCTGACGTCAGCAGCCGCCGCCCCGCGGGCGGGAAGGGGGGTTGAGTCGCAGCCCAGGGGAAGCAGGGATGGGGGGCTGGCCTCCCCACCCGTGAGCTGCCCATCTGGGCCAGCCTGAGACCTGGACGTCAGCTCTGATGCATCCCCTCCCCCCCGTAACAGACCCGCAGACAGGACACTGGGTCCGGCATGGAGGGTACGGAGGTAAGATTTGTGGGGGCCCGCGGGTGGCTGAGGGGCAGACTCAGGGCCCCGAGCTCCTGAGCAGGGGCCAAAGGCTGGACCCGGGAGGCCAGTTCATCGTGTGACGTTCACGGTCCATAAAACCCCCGGCCCCGCGGGCTCCCCCAGGCACTCCCCTCTGCAGCAGCAGCGGAACGCCCAGCCCGCGGCGCCCGGCACCCGGCGGTCCGACCAAAGCAGGAGCAAGGCCTTCTGGGCTTTGATTCTGTTCAAAGTGTCCAGATCTTATCGTCCCCAAGTCGTCTTTACCTCGTATCCCAGGACCGCGTACCTGACTTAGATACGGTTCAGTCAGACATCAGCAAAAGAAAAGATAAACACAAGTTGTCACATGTAAAAATGAAAGAGAAGCACAATTCAAATGAACAGTCTTTAAAAAGAGAGTATCTTACATATTGGCCCTGGCTGGGTAGTTGGTTAGAGCATTGTCCCCATGTGCCAAGGCTGCGGGTTCGATCCCCAATCAGGGAACATACAAAAACCAACCAACGAATGCATAAATGAGTGGGATGGCGATTCGGTGTTTCTCTCTCACTCCCAGATCACTACATAAAAATTTAAAAAATCATATAAAAAGAGTATCTTACATGTCCTTTAAAAATATCTAGAACAGATAAAAATAACACTTCCTGAAATGTTTAGGATACACTGAGTGACAAAATGTATATCCTTCTGAACTTACCTACAAAAAAAATAGACTATTCTGTTCAGAGGCTCATCGTCTAAACTTTTCATTTTTAAATAATTTCAGATCTTTAGAAAGCTTGCAAACACGTGCAAGAATTGTTCTATGGAACGCTTTGCACAGATTTTCCACATTTTGACACCGTCCGTAACTGCAGGACAATGATCAAAGTCACAGCATAAACACTGAGGCAGCGCTGTCACCTAACGTGCCGGGCCGGTCTTATTTTGAGGCCGCGAGCGGCGCCCCCACGGCCTTTCTCCGGCCTTCCAGTCCGTCGCAGACCGTGCTGCTATCTTGCCTTCTTGGTCCCCTTCCCCCTTCCCCCGCCCCCCGAGCAGCCTGCCTGCCTTGCTTTCTTTCACGACGTTGACATTTTCGAAGAGTAATGGCCAGCTGGTTCGTGCAAAGTCTTCCCGTTTGGACCGGCGGGTTACTCACGATCCCCTCCCAGGGAAGCACTGGGGCCACAGCGTCGCTCGCGGAAACGGGGCGGCGCGCGGGTGGCGCCTGGCGGGCTCTCCCCCAGAAGCCGCCGTTTGCCCCGCGGCACGTAGCACGTGTCTCGTGAGGGGCACGTTGAAATGATGCGCACGTCCCGCTTCGCGCCCTGCGTAGCCCGCCCGCCCGTGTCCGCGACGGCTCTGTGGCCGAGCGGCGGCTGCCGCGGATTTTTGCCGCGTGGTGATGACGTGTCCCGTTCTTCCCGCGTCGAACAGTTGGGGTTCTAACGCATTTTATGCCATTTCTCCTCTCCGTGCCCTGGGATTAGCTTTTCTTCTCTTACGTTCCGGTTCCTTTGAGCAGGAAATGTCATTTTATGGGATCTAAAAACCAAGATCCGCGCTGCGGCACCGCTGGGGGGGGGGGGGCCCTTTCTGTGGACACCCGTCCACACTCACGCCTCTTGGCGATCCCCGCCCGGTCCCGTGAGTCCTCCCCGCTCACCCTGTCCGTCTCCTGCCCCCCGCAGCGAGGGGCCTGCCTGGTGACATCCACGTACCTAAGCCGGTCGATCGCCGCGGGCCTGAGCGCCCACCGGCCCCTCGCAAGCGCTCACTCTGCCAGCCGCCGGCCCGGCCGCCGCGCCCTGCGAGCCCGCCGGGAGCTGTCGGGCAGGCACAACAGCCGAGACAAATACGGAGGCGGGGGGGGGGGGAGGCCGGCCGCCAGTCCCTGCGATTATCCGCCGCCGGGCCGCGCCCTGCGGCCCTCTGCCCTGTCGGCCACGGACATGGGACATCTGCCGTGCAGCAGAGGTGGCCTGTGCAGGGTGTGGGGGCCACCCCCGCTCCGACTCCATCCCTGGAAGTAACCACCTGACAATAAATCCTGTTAGAATCTACAGAGTTGCCTGCGAAGGGTCTTGATCTCAAGACACCTCGGCAGGTCGGGTCACTGTACCTCCAGAGCCCATTCAAACAACCCCCACAGGGTCCCCTCCTGCTTGCCCCCTGCGCCAAGGGCCCTGCTCTCACTGTCCTCTCTCTCCTCGTCCTCCAGGGTGTCCCGTGGGTGACCCAGCTCAGCCTGACAGCCCTGAGCTGGCCCCCGGCTTCAGCGGTCCCAGCCCGGTCCTCAGCTGTGTTGCTGACCTGGGCGGCCCTCCCTCGGGCCAGGCAGGGGACCGTCATCAGCCCCCACTGTCTCCAACCCAGCCGCTCACTGAACACGGTCCCGTGGGCCCCAGCGTCCCCTGCCAGCGTCTCCACATCCCGCTGCCCAGACGGGCCCGCCCACCCTGCCCTGTGCCCCGGGCCCCGCGGGCCCCTCCCCCACAGAGGCCAGCCGGCCCTTCCGAGGACCCGGACCTGACCCCGTGGGTGCTGCCTACGCCAGGCCGGGCCTGGGACCCAGGGGCTGGCCCCGTGCTACCCGCAGCCCAGCTGGGTGGTTTTGTCTGGATGTGACCAAGATCCAGGGAGGGACAGCACGTGACCACAGAGGTCTGCTGAGGGCTGGGGCGGAGGGACGTGGCCTGGGTGTGGCGGGTGGCAATGGTGGAAGGAGCTGGAAGGGGTGCAGTTGAACCATATGTTTATTGTCTCTGGAAGGAGTGAAGGTCGTTGTCCCAGGGCACAGGCGCCGCCCGCAGCCCGACCCTGCCTGAGCCCCTCGGGCAGAGTCGGCCGGGACCAGGGAGAGGCTGGCACAGGAGGCCGGGCAAGTTGGAGCTGGAGCCAGGGCTAGAGCGGCCGTGGGCCTCGCCCGGGCTCCCCCTGCCCCGTGCCTGGTCCTGGGCCCCCTGCTCTGGGCACGAAGCCTCGCACAGGGTGCCGCTGCCGCAAACTCTGGCAGGCCCGCTCTCCGCCAAGGAACTGGGGCTGCGCCTCCAGGCCGAGCCCCTGCTGGGGCAGGCAGGGGCGGCCCGGTCCAGGGGGGAGGCGGCGGCACCGCCTCCTGGCTTGCGGAGGCAGAGGTCCCACCCAGCGTGGCAGAGAGGGAGGCAGGACCGAGGCTGAGCGGGCAGATGAGGTGGCATTCACGGCAGGGCCCCGAGGAGGCCGAGGCCCAGCGGGAGCAGCAGGACCCCCGGCAGGGCCCACGGCCGCCCCAGGGCGGGGGCCGCCGCGTTGCAGAGACTCTGGTTGCAGCACTGCCGGGTGATCCTGTTGCGCATCTCGGTGCCCGACGGCCACTCATACACCATGTTGGTGTTGGGGCACTGGGGGGCGCAGCGCTTGCTGAGCAAAACTTTCGTCCCTGATTCTGCAGAAGAGAGGAGGCAGGTGGTCCCTGGCGTCCAGGAAGGAGGGCTCGGGCCGCCGTGGGGTGCCGTCCCCACGGCCAGCACCCTCAGAATCAGAGGATGGCCAGCCCCACAAGCGCTAACGGACAGCCCCTCCTGACCCAGTCACCGCCCGCACCCCGCAGAGCCCAGGAGCGTGGCTGCCCAGGGCGGCCATCGAGTCCCAGCAAAGGCGGGGCCCAGGGCTGCTGGCCCTAAGGACCGCCCTGCCCTGAAGCCACACATGGCCCGGGAGCCCGGGGCCTTTGAGGGAGCAGCCGAGCGGGGCGGACAGAGGGACGAGGACCGCAGAGGCCCTGCTGTGCGCTCAGCCCTGGCTCCGCTCTCCTGGTTGCTCCTCAGCGGCAGGGAACCGATGCGGGGAGCCAAGCCCCCAACAGCCCCGGCTGCAGGAGGAAAGCCGGCCTGGGGCGGGACCCACGTTGCTCCAGGGTACAGCCTCACGCTGGGTTGCGTGTGTTCTGCTGAATCACACTGTAGGTTGTATTACGTGATAGCTGCATTTTACCATCTCTTCTCAGGAGAGACCCGGAGGCCCCCAGGGACCAACCGTGAGCCGCCACGGCCCCCGCCGCCAGCCCCGGGGCTCAGCGTGGAGGTCTCCAGGCAAAGGTGGGGGTGCGCAGGGGCCTGCGGATCAGAGCCCTCCTGACTCCCGCTCCCAGGTGGCGCCCACCGTGGCCCCCAGCCACCGGTTCCGGCTGAGAAGCTGTGGCTGGGGATAAAGAAAGCAAAACGGCGGGGGCGGCGGGGGGGTGGGTGCGGTGCGGACCCTCAGCCAACGCGCTTCTGCCCCTGCCAGCCACCTGCAAATCCCTTCTCTCTGTAAGGACGAGGGACAGGCAGTCCCTGCAGGTCGGGGTGACCAGGACGTGCGGGATGGGGCCCAAGGAGGGGCTGGGCCTCAGCGAGGAGAAGCCCGCCTTGGATTTTACCAGGAAGGCGAGGGTGGAAGGACACCCGGTGCCCGGAGCGTGGGCGTGATGCTGTCGGTTGGGGTGGGACCGCCCTGTCTGCTGGTGACGCCAAGGCAGAGGGCACCTACACAGCGAAGCCGCAACCTCGGCTGTGCCCGCATTTGTCACTGGGGCCTCCACGTATGGCTTTACCCCTAGGAAGCCCCATAATGGAGCAACATGCACTCTCTTGCGTTACGACTGAGTGCGGGGAAGGCAGGCGTGGGAGGCCCCAGGTGCATGGTGCAGAGCTGATTAAAGGACCCCGTCCCTGCCAGGCCCTCAGGACTCGAAGCCACAGAGGCGGTGGCTCTGCTGTAACTGGCATGTCCCCATGGCCGGCGCACCTCGCCAGCAGAACCAGCACACCCGGCCGCAGACTCTGGGAGAGCAGATGGTCTGTCCCCCTCCTGCTGTCTCTGGCCATTTGTGTACTTCCGGTGGCTTGCTGGTGACATTTCTGTGGGCTGGGGACGCGTTCAGGTCTGAGCTTACAGTCTGCTGTAAGGCTTGTTTTGGACGTGGAGCCCTACCAGGTGAGCGCACAGTCAGCCCTGCGGGCAGGTGACCCGGGGCACGGCAGGTGGAGCCGGCAGGTGGCAGGCCCCAGGCATAGCGTCCTGGGCCGCCTCTCGCCCGCCCTGCTCTCCCGTACACTCGGCGACAGCAGTTTCTGCCCAGCTAACAGCTCCTTGTGGAGCGCCATTCAGTAGCCGGCCATCCTTCCCTGGCCAAGATCCGCCGTCCGCGTCGGAGGGATACGCGTGAGCGGCTGGCGAACAAAAGGTCTCCGGGCGCCCCCGCCCCCCTGCCCCCAGCCCTGCAGAGCGCCCAGGGGTCCTGCGCAGGTCCGGGGGGAGCCCGTGCACGCCGCCCCAGCCAACGCTCCTAGGGACTCACGGAAAAAGGTCACCTCGTGAGAGACGCAGACGCGGTCCGTAGAGGAGCACGTGGTGGGCGTGCACAGCTCCTTCCTGGTGACTTTGAAGCACCGGAAGCAGGTCAGGGTTCTACCTGCGGGGCAGCCCCGGCTGCGCTGGAGCAGGCCTGCGCCCCCCCTAGTGCACCGTGCGTAGCGGCGCGAGAGCCCCGAGACGCTTTGGGGAGCCAGGCTGGGAGCCCCCGCGGCCCCCGCGGCCTCAGGACCACCTCGCCCGCCGCGCCCGCCCGCCCCTTACCTGGCTGTGCGGTGCTGCCCGCAAACCCCGGTGGCGCAGCCCGGGGGCCACGCTGGAGCAGGCCCGCGCCCCAGGCTCCCAGCAGAGCCCACAGCACCAGGACCGGCCCCTCCATGGTGTGTGGGCTGGAGGGGCAGAACAGACACGGAAGCTTCATCCTGAGCACCTGGCCCCCCGCGGTCCCGCCTCCCAGCCCCCGACCGACCGAGGCCTCTGGTGGCGCCTTCCCCCAGAGCTCCCCAAGGAGTGGCCCGTGAGGAGAGCTGGCTCTGGGAGGGCCAGGGCAGGGGCCTGTCCGCCTCTGCTCCGCAGCGCCCGCCCCGGGGAGCGCCTGCTGGGGCCCGGGCTGGCAGCCTCCGCCGCGCCCCCCACCCCCACCCCCGCCCCCGGCCCCCTGCCACAGCAGCAGGTGGGCAGGAACCGACTGAGTCTCCCCCGGCTGCCCCTAGGCCAGCCTCTGCCCCGGGCCGGCTGGGTGCTTCCCGCTCTTCCAGGAGCAGACCCGCGTGGGCAGGGCCTGGTTCTCACCACGGGGACACCGGCCGCTGGATGGCTGAGACACCTTCCTCAGGTGTGGCGGGGAGCTGTCTGGTGCTGGAGAAAGGCGAAGGGCCCCGGGGGCGGGGTGGGGGGGGCAGCGGGGTCATTGGAGCCAGAGAACAGGGGACATCTGCACAATCAGAGGTGACACTAAGGACAGCCCAGTGGCAGAAACGCCAAGAGCCTGACCTGGAGCAGGAACCCAGGAAAGGACACGCTCCGGGGCGCCCCGAGGCGTGGGGGCAGGGTGAGGAGGACAGGAAGGAGATGGGGAAGTGGGGGGAGGAAATCTTCAATCTTGCCCTTCTGTGAATGCTCCCCATGGGGCCTGGGAGGGGCGTGGGGGGCCCCAGAGCCGGAGGGGGGCTCTGAGCCTCCCCAGCGCCGACCAGCAGGTTCTCCAAGGCTCTGCCCAAGGCCCTGCTGCTGCCCCAGCTGGTGTGGCCCGCAGGGCAGGGGCTGGGCCGCCTCCAGGACCCTGGCAGGTCCCGGGGCCCTGCAGAGGGGCTGAGGCTTCCCAGGCACACAGCTCCCCTTCCAGTCCTTCCCAGTTCTTCCCTTTGTCTTGCCCTTTATTCTTGCTCCTCAGGAGCCTGTCCCCCCCCCACCCCCGTGTTAAAGAGTCAATGACACTTGTCCGTGCAAAGAGAGTTTCTGCGGTCCTGGGTGCCGCAGGGAGCCCTGCGAGGCAGTTTGGCAAGTGGGGACTGAGCCAAGGGGCAGAGGGGTCAGCAAGAGAAGTCACAAAGAGGAGGCATGGGGGGGTAGCTAGATGGACCTCCCCGACCCCCGCGGAGGCAGGTCAGGTGTCAGGCCTCTCAGGGCCGGGCCGGGTGGGGGTGGGCGCAGGGAGGGGGCGAGGAGCCCCTCAGGCAGCCAGGGCGGTGGCGTTTTTGCTAAAACTGCATTTTACGAGGACGGGCATAGATGGGCATGGAAGGTTCCGGAGCCCGACTGGAGTTCGGTCTGGCAAAGAATCTGTCGCTGCCACGCTCAGCACAAAGCTGTTGACACAGCCGCTGCACCGTCTCTCCCCTGAGGGCGGGCAGTGGTCTGCTGCGGCCCCTCCGCTCCGTGCTGTCCCCTGGGGACGCAGCAGCTCTGAGGGCCCCGGAACCCGGGGGGCTGGACACGCTGCCCTCTCTCTGGCCCCTTCCCGGGCCTGTCCCCAGGGCTGTCCCCTCAGGGGCGGCTCCCCAAGCCCAGGTGCCCTCCGTTGGGTGTCAGGTGGCCACACAGCTTTCCTTTCTTTCATTTTAAAATTTATTTGTATTTATTTTTTGCAACAAAAATACATTTTAAAGGAAGACGGAGCTGTGGCCTGGCCTCCTTTCCCCCAGATAAGCCACTGCCCCAGCTCCCTCCTTGTCTTCTCTCCGCGCTGCTGGCAGCGGCCCCAGGCCTCCCTTCCCGAGCCCCTGAAGCACTTCCCCAGACACGTGACTCCTGTCTCCAGCCCGGTCCCCTTCCCAGACCCTCCAAGTTTCCTCTTGCTGCTGGGGGAGACGGGGTCTGATGGGGGTCGCAGGAGTTGGGAAGTTTTAGTTTAAGGTAACGGTTAGTAAGCCCCGCAGCGAAAGCCTGCGAAAAGCTCTTGTTTCAGGAACTGAAGGCACCTCCCCTGACCCCCCCACTCCAGGAGGCCACAAGCAATTGACCCTTGTGCTTCAGAAGAGACCGCAAGGGACCACGGTGGCATCTGGGCCCTTGTGTTCCAGGAACAGACGTCCCGCTGCCCAGGACACAGGCCACAGGTAAAGAAACCCCGCTCAGAGGGAGAAGGGGTGCGGGGCGGCTGCCGGGCTGCGGCCGTTTTCTGATGAACCTCTTTCCCGCGTTCCAAGTTGCTCCCCTACTCTTTTTTTCTCCCTGAATTCCAAATCCCTTACTTACACTGTTGCACCCTTATAAAAAAAAAAGGCTGGCTTGCAAGGAACCGTAGCACGGTCTGCTAGGGGACAGACCCGCCCTCTTCTCAGGTCCCCGGCCACCTGATAAAGCGCCCGTAGTGAAGATTCAATCCCTGCCTCTGCTATTGGTTGAAGAATTACAGATCAGCGGGTCTGCCCGCTGCCAGCGGGCAGGGTTTACTCCCCACCTGCTCCCACGGAAGAGAAGGGCCCCGTGGCGGTGGGGCCGGGGGAAGGCAGAGGTTCCAGGCAAAGCCGGTCTGAGGGGGTCAGCGGCGGGGGTGGAGAGCGCGCCCAGCCCTCTGTCCTGAGGGCTTACATCGCGGGTGGGATGAGGGGTGAGGGGGTTACATATTGATTACCAGGTAAAGGTGCCAGCTTTGGGGGGGGGGGCGTGACTACCCAAAGGTGTCAACGGGCCCGCTCCTTTGGGCACGGTGAGCCCTTTTCGGCCGTCCCGGCCTTGGGGTGAGAGCACAGCTTCAAAGCGTCTCTCTCCCCAGGAGTGGGGACGACACGTGGAATTTCGGGGCTGCCCTCCTCCCTGCCTTGGTTTGTACTCACCCTACCCAAGCCCCGAAAGGCGTTTCTCGGTAACCAGGACGCAGACGCCGGTCAGCTGCAGCAATGTAGCTTCAGGGTTCTTTCTGCGCGTTCTCTGGCCTCACGCTGGCACGTCAAGAGTCATTTCCTCTCCCACGCTCTTCTTTTTATCACTGTATCGGGGTGACACTGGCTGACGATAATAGTCCATGCGCTCTGGGGACACATCTTCACGCTGCGGCATCCGGACGCCACCCAGCGAGCTCGCGGACAGGCACGTCACCCTGGCGCAGGGTCTTCGGGGGCCCGCGCAGCTTCGCACGCCAAGTCCCCGGCCGGCAGGGTCACTGTGCGGGGCTGCCTCGGGCCCGCCTCGGGCCAGCGGTAACGGGGTGGGGCGCGGCTCTTGACTTCTTGTAGGGAAGATTTCGGACACGAGTCCTCGTGACTCTGAGGGTACGTTTACTAAAGCTGGTGATGACCCAACACGGAGGGCCTGGCATTGAGGAAGCAGCAGGGAGGCGCAGGCTGTGCCTGCCGCCTTAGCTCCCCCAGAAGTCGGGGGGGGGGCCTTGGGCAGGGGTTCAGGGGGTTAGCCCGGGGCAGCCTTAGGGTTTAGGAGACCCGTGCCTGTGAGGACAGAAGCGGGGGCAGAAGCAGGGAAAGGCTCAGGCGGCTGCCCCGCCCCCGCCCCGCCCGGGAGAGCAGGAGCCCTTTGTCTTGCAGGCGGGAACCTTAGGGGAGGTCTGGGGAGGGTTTCAGTCCCCCAGGTGTGTCCTTTCAGGGTCCTGGTCTCCCCCGACTGGTCAGTGACAAGGCAAGGGGATCTTCAGTCACTGCAGCCGGTCCTGGCCTCGCCCACCTGGGTTCGCTGCTTTCCTGAGCCTGGATCCGAAACACCGCTGAGGGCCGGGCGCCCTCTCCAGGGTGGAAGCCGGGCGGGAGCGGCTGCCCGGGCCGAGGTCTCTGTGCCCCCGGTGTTGCCCCCGGCAGGCACTCCGGACCTTGCGCCCTGGCGACCCGCTCTGTACCGGCTGTCAGTCGCCCGGCCGCCGGGTCAGCGATCTGCCTCGGGCCTCTTCCGTTTGCCTAGTTTTCCTGACCCCTCACTCTCCTGACTCACGACAGCCCCACCTCGTGGGGCAGAGCCCCTCCAGGGGTCAGACCCTTTTCTCCCAGGGGGTCCCCGGGGGCACGGCTCATGGGTTCTGTCCCCTGGTCCCAGACAGCCCTCACTCGCTCTGTCAGCACCTCGGAGCAGGCCCGCGGTCGCTCCTGGGCCAGCCTCCCGCCGTCTCCCCAGGGAGCAGGGTGTGGGTGTGGGCATGTCCGGGGCTCACAGGCAGGGTGAGAACGGAGAGAGGAGTGGGCAGGGCAGAAGGTGGGCAGGGCTTCCTGGAGAAAGTGTCCCCCCCCTCCCGCTTCTGCCTCGCCCCGGCCTGTGCTCTTGTCCTAGCCTGTGCTCACGGGTGGGGCGCTCTCTGGCCCAGGGGCCTGTTTTCTCTCCTGCCCCGAGTTCCAGGAAATGGAAACCAGAGCCTCCCAGAGCCCACACGCCCCTCCTCCCCAATGAATCAGTGCGAAAACTGTCCTCCACAGACACGGCTTCCTCCCCCTACCCCCACCCCACTCGGAACAGCGGCCCCCCTGGAGCCCTGCCCTCTTCCCTAGGGGACCCCTTTGCTCTGTTGGACACGGAGAGGTGGCAGCCTCATCCTGGTGGCCCAGGCAGATCCAAGGGGAGGTGTCAGCTTTTTGGTCGCAGTCCAAGGTCTTCAGACACATGGATGGTGTCCCAGAAACAGCAGGTTTCTTGTAAGAAAACAAAGGAGAGGGGCGTGGGGACTGGACTGAGGGACACGTCGGGCTGGAGGGTCCCTGGGGCGGCAGGAGCCAGTCAGCATGGCCGCCCGCTGGCGGGGGGAGAAGCGAGGGGAGCTCACACATCCAGGGCTTCCTAGGGGTGAAGGGGAACAGAATTTCACCCCAAAATATGCCTCTTATTTTAGCCGGGTTATTTTTTAAAAAGATTTTATTTACTTATTTTTAAAGAGGGGAAGAGAGGGAGAGAGGGAGAAAGGAAACATGCATGCGCGGTTGCTTCTCATGTGCCCTCCCCACTGGGGTCCTGGCCCGCAACCCAGGCCTGTACCCTGACCGGGAATCGAACTGGCGACCCTTTGGTTCGGAGGCCGGACGCAATCCGCCGAGCCACAGCAGCCAGGGCTGGCCTGGCTATTTTTAATAAACCGCAGACACCAAAGAAGTCCCGAGGGGCGTTTTCCCTCTGGTAAGAAACATGCACATTTACAGATAAATCTCCAGGGGCCCAGGGGCCCCCTCTTTACAGCGTTGCTCTAGAAAACATCCCGTAACTGACCCCCCCACCCCATGCACACATCTTTGGTGCTGAGCTGGAGATGGCGCTGAAGGGGGCGGCGTGGGCCGCTGAGGCGTCGCTCCCTGTTCCTGGGTCTCTCCCATGTACACAGGCGGTACCCACGCTATTAACTTCCCTTGGTTTCTCTCGCGTTGTTCTGTCACGGGGCGAGGTGGTGGGAGGCGGGTGGGGGGGGGGCGCGTCTCAGCCCAGAATCTAGAAGGGCAGCGGGACAGTTGCTTTCGTCCCTCCACAGGGCCCTTTGCCTTCCCTGCTCAGGGGCCCAGGGGCCCTCAGAGGACGGGGTGCGGGCAGGGCGGGTGCTCACCCTCCTCACGTGGCCTGGTCCCCCCGCCCCGCCTTCCCGTAGCCTCGGTCCCCCCTCCTGTTGGGCGGCCCCTTCCATGGCCCCACAGGGACCGCGGTCCTCACCAGGCCCTGGGGCTGGGGCCAGAGGACACACGGACCCCTGGGAACCCCGTTCTGGACTCACCGCCCCAGCTGGCAAGGTGCCAGGGCAGGGAGTCGGGGGATCTGCATGGAGGGCGGCGCGGGGAGTGGGTGATGCTTAGCTGCACAGAGGCACAGGCGGGAGGCTCTGGGACAGGGTCCTGCCTGGCGCCCCCCACAAGTGTGGGAAGTCCCTCCTCTCCAGTTTTTGCAGCCCTAGGGGCAGGGCTTGTGAGCCGGAGCACAGGAAACCCTACCTAGCGGAGTCAGGAAGCGGGAAGGCGGAGCTCTGGAGGGCGCCTGCAGACCCCCCCGCCCCCCCCCCCGGCAGGAAGTGGGCTCCAACAGGGAGCGCCCACTGCAGCAGCAGGAGGGAGAGCTTCTCCTTGACGGGCAACAGACCCAGCCAATGAGAAACCGCCTTGACTCAGCCTGTAGGCAGTGAGGGCAGAGTGAATGAATGGAGCTACTCTCCTCAAGCTGATCAGGTGCTGAAATCAAGTAGGTGGAGGCACATGTAAACAAGGCTGCTCTTGCTTTAACTGCCTGGGAACTTAAACTTTGGACGTCTCCAGTTACGCTGACAAATCTCTATCCATCCATCCATCCATCCACCCGTCTTGGAGGTAACCCTCCGGCTGCCTCCTGGAGGACTTAGGAGAGAACGGCCCCCATCCAGGCCGCTGAGGCCGCCCCGCCTCTGGGAGGCCACCATCTCAGGCCGGCCTGGAAGCTAAGAAGGCAGGACTGACTTTTCTCAGAAACCTGCCTTTCCTGCAAGAACTCCGAGCTGTCTGTTCTCCCTGGGAACACCGAGGGTGCCGCGGAGCTGTGTTCCGGTCGCAAACCCTGAGGCCCGTGACTAAATGCTCACCGACGTTTCCTTCCGGCCAAAGCCCCTGACGCACTCGCCCTGGGGACGCAGCCGCCGCACTTGGGGCTCCCGGGTCCCCTGTCAGACACTTCGTTTATAACAGCCCCTCCAAGCGCCCCTTTTTCCCTGGAAAGCGATGCTCCCGTCCTCTGGGCTCCCGACTTGCCTGCGGGCTCGCCAGGGCGTGCATGCCCCGAATCGCAATTCCTCTGCGGCTCCTGAGTGAGCCCATTTGGCTGGTAAAAGAACTTGCTGTTCTATTATTTTAGGTCAACAGGCTGTATATTGGCAGAGAGGGAGTGCGGACTCCAGCCCCCTGCCCGGCCCTCCAGGGAAGGGCGGAGGGTCTCTCGGGGGTGTCTGACCCCGACATCCGTCCAGGTCAGGCGCTGAGCCCCTCCAAGGCCTTCCTGTGAGGAGAGGGCCAGACCCACCCCCCAGTCCCTGCGCAGGCAAGAGCGACAGGAACCCACCCTTCCGGCCTCTGAGCCCTCTTCTCTTGCCCCCCAGTTCTGGCCTGGAGTGTTGTCATGTCCAAGCCTCGTGCCCTGGCCCGTGCTCCACCACGTCCCTCCCACGGTCACTGAGACGGCCCATGTGGGACCCCGGGTTTTGTCGGACCACTAAGCAGTCAACGAGGCCCCCTCCCATGCAGGCTGTGGGGGCTCTGCCCGGAGCGCCCCCACCTGGTAGAAGCTAGGCCTGGGGGCTGTTCTTCGCGGGCTGCCTTGGTGTCCCCGCTGGATCCCGAGCTCCTTGGAGGAGGGGTCCTAAGGCTGGGTGCGGCGGGCTACAGCCAGGAAGGAGGAAACTCCAGAGGTGCCCCAGGGCTCAGATAAAGACTGGCAGCTCCTGCATCTGGAAAAGCACGGAACCCTGGCGATTCAGGAACGCACCTGCGCAGGAGATGCGACCTGACCCCCGCTTCGTTGTAACAGCATTATAATCAATTAGCCTGTGGGACCCCCTTCCCGGTGGCCAGTCCGGGAAGTCATGGGAGACCGCATGCACAGCAACTTTAAAGTAATATAACTACCTGTGCATGCGCCATAAAAACGCCACAGCCAGCCAGGAGGGACCCGCCCTAGAGGAGTGAAAGCCCTGCAGCCCTGAGGTCGGCCTGTTAGGCTCTGCTCTGCTCCGCTCCGGTGGGGGCTGGCCTGCCCCCACGTTCTCTGCGCCCTAATGATTCTGCTTCCTCTCGCTTTCTGCTATAAACTCGGGTGTCTGGTTCAGATTTTTGCCTGCGATCACCAAGAACCTGATTACCTGTGCCCACCTGTGACACGGGACAGGCAGCGGAAAGACTGAGGGAAGACGGGGGAGGGAGCGGTGCGGGGTGCGGGCGAGAGGGTCCGAGGGGTCCTCGAGGCTCTGAGGAAGGTGCCCTGTCAGACGGGGGCGGGGGGCTCATTCTGTCTAGTGCTGCAGGAGGTTCCGGAGCCCCCGGCACGGATGCAGGGCAGCCAGACCCAGAGACGGGAGAGCGGAATGGCCCCTGTTTAAAGGGCCCGCAGGGAGCCTCCCCTCCCCACTCTGCCCTGTCGCAGCCACAGAGGGGTGAGGGCATCGGCCACCTGGCTGGCTCTGCCTCCTGCCCCCGCTCCCCCTCCCCCTGGCCTGGAACTGTGGGTACTTTGCAGTTCCTGCCCAGCTGCCGAAACTTCCTCCCCAAAGTCTTCACACGCTCCCCGCCAAGGCTCCTGGGGTGCAGCTTGGAGGGCCCGCCCCCCACTCCGGCCCGGAGCCCCTGCAGCAGGGTCTCAGAGCATGGCCCCCTCCAGCGCGGAGCAAGGCGGGGGGCAGGCAGATACTACAGTCTGGGGGGGGTGCAGGGCCCTGCGGGGCTGTCCCTCCCGTGTGGGCTCCGCGGGAGCAGCGGGAGGCTGGGCCCGGCGGCAGGAGGCTCCTACTGCTGGAGGCAGGCCCGGTGGCCGCCTGGGTGGGGCAGGGTCTGCTGGGTCTGCTCTGAGCTCCCCATCCCATTGGACATGCCCGTCCACTCCCAGAGATCCCCACCGTGGGTGGAGGCGGGGAAGCGGGGTGGGGGGGCGTCCCCCGGGAACCCGGGCATGGAGACCGGGGAGGCCAGACCTCTGCCCAGCGTGCCCAGCAGGACAGCACAGCGCCTGTGCCGGGCTGCCTGGGCAGATGCCAGGGCGTGGACTGCGGGCCAGTGCTGACGGGCTTTCCCCTCCTCTCGCCTGCCCTCCGCCTCCAGGGTCCCCACGCCCCTCCCCTCCCTACCGCTCCTCCCACAGGCTGCCGGAAACCGAAACTTAGAGCCCTGGGTCCTCCCACCTCCTCTGCCCCTTCCCACCTGGCCCAGCCTCCTGTCTAGCCTCCCAAGGAACCTGGAGCAGCCGCGGGATTTTGTCCTCCCCCCAGAACAGAGAGGACACTGGGCCTCAGGGTCACAGAGCCAGCAGAGCAAGGGGCTGCACCCCTCCACACTCATTTCCACTTGGCAAGCTGGGGACGACTCAGTGCAGTTGTAGGAAGAGGGGCAACAGGTTAGCATCGCTGGGAAAGCAGCTGCTGGTCAGAGTGGAGCTTATGTTGAAATTAGCACGCACGGAGGGTCACACAGGTATGCTACCGCTGTGGCCCATCCCAGGACGCCCGGGTCCCCAGAGTTCACTCCAAATTCCTGGCCCAGATGCTCCTGTCCAGCCGTGCAGCCTCCTCTCGCCCAGGACAGCCCTGGGATTCCCTGGCCTGGCCTCAGCCCCTTCTGCAAAGTCGCTTGTGGTTTGAGGGAACGATGTTTTGATGCAAAGACTCGGAACTCGGAACTCGGACGGTCGTCTCCTGCGATAACAGAGCCTGTGTCCCTGGGGGACACCCTGGATGCCTGCCCCCGAGGGCTTCCCTTTCGGACGCAGGTGTGACCCCCTCCGGCAAGTCACACGCTAACTGCCCGCGGCACCTCCAGGCCGCCCCGATGTTGCAGAGCACGCGTCCCTTCCCTCCCTCTTCCCGCTGGGTAGCTCCCCCTGACGCCCCGGGGCCAAACCCCGCTCCTGGCGGCCTGTCTCGGGGCCGTTCCTCCCCCCACCCGCTTCATCCGCGCGGGCTGGCCCCCTTTGGTGGCCATGGTGACGAGGACACTGCATTTTGGTTTCACAGTGACTGCTCTGTGCAAAGCTCCTCACTGGCCGCTGACCTCAGGGACCCCGGGCGACGGGCTGGAACCCTGAGCTTCCATGCTGACCGCTGTCCCACCCCCTCGACAGGGTTCCTCCCTGGACACAGGCACATTGTCCGGTCAACCTGCGACGACCTGGGCTGGGTGCCAAGTGGACCTGGACTGGCGCCACCACCGGGGGCGTCCTGAGGGACGAAGGACTAAACCCCGCAGAGCACCCTCGTCTTGCCCTGCGGCCGTGAGTGCACGTCACCGGCAGCCCGCCCCACAGGACACTGTCCTGGGGCCTCGACTCCCCGGCCCCTGAGGACCACGCAGCCTGGCCAAGGGGTCACGGGCACACCGCAGGGGTGGCTGGGGTCCAGCCAGGGTCTAAGGCCTCCTCCAGGGGAGCACCCCCCACGGGCCCTGGGGAAGTCCTCGCTCAGCTCTCACCACGCTCCTGCCCGCCCGGCCAGGTCTTCCCTCCTTGGCCTGACGGGCCCTGGCAGCCTGGCTCCAAGTCCCAGGCCCCCTCACGCTCTCTTCTGTCCAACCGCACCCCTCCCTCCAGGGTCCTGCCTTCCTCCCAGAAGCAGGCCGACCTCCTGGCCCTCTGACCTGACCTGTCCACATCGCCCCGCTCAGCCTGGGGAAGGAGGGAGTGGGAGACATAGGGCGAGGTTCCCTTCTAGGCCTCACGGGCTGCTAGCTGTGGGTTGGGGGTCCCCTCCCCGACTATCCCCAAGTGGGCCTCAGGGAAGAGCAGGACCACAGGGGAATCCGCAGGCCCCCCGCCACGGGACACACTGGGGTGGGGGCTCCCAGGCAGCCACAGCAAAGCAGGACGGGGTGGGGACATCTGTTTATTGAGGCACCAAAGCAGAAGGGGGCCCCGGTGTGGGGGCAAAGGGTGGGGGGCGGGTGGGGGCCACAGCTGGATTTGGGGCAGGCACGGGTTCCTGGGCCCGGCAGCCCGGACCGGGCGGCCGCGGATGAAGTGAGCGCAACGTGGGACGTGGAGATGCCCGCGGACGGGCCCTGGGGCTGCTCGCCCCCGCTCTGCCCGGCCCCCCGAGGCACAGCCAGCAGGACCCCATGGACACGCCCCCACATGGCACGCTCGCTGCCCCTGCCACGACACCGGGCCACAAAGCACATCCCGCACGCCGCTGTGTGGGGGCAGACAGGACCCAGGGCGGGAGGCCCCGCGCTGCGGCGCCCCCCGCAGTGTGTCCCCGAGACCCCCGCGGAAGGTCCTGCCGCTGACCCTGGACGGGCGGGCAGCTGGCCCTCGGGGGGCAGGTGCAGGTGCAGGGGACAGGCCTGGCGGCGGGGACGGAGGCCGAGCAGGCAGGGCCAGGCAGGGGTCGCAGGGGCTGGGCGGGGTTGCACTTTCCTTCCTGAGCTGTGGGAGTCGGCGAGCACCGCGCCGCACGCGGTCAGGGTCCCAGGCGCAGCAGAGCCGCCAGCAGGCTGAGCAGGAGCCCGGCGCCGAGCACGGTGGCGCTGGCCCGCAACCCGCCATCGGCCGCGCTGATGTTGCACAGGAAGCTCTGGCAGCAGTAGGTGCCCATGGAAGCCACTCCAAGGTTGATGTTGGGGGGGGCGGGGCAGACCGGGGAGCAGCCCTTGTTCAGGCTGTGGCCAAAGTCCACCATGTTCCCTGCACCAGGAAGCAGGTTGTGAGTGGAGGGGTGGCGGGCAGGGCCGGGGTCTGGGGTCAGGGGAGGGGGGCAGCCAGCACTCACCGAGGCCCGCGGCGGCAGATATGGTTACGCAGTACCTGTCAGAGTCTGAGCAGACGGTGGGCCTCAGGCAGTAGAAGTTGCTTTTCTGATCCGTGCAAGAGAAGCACACCAGGGAGTGGGCTGTGGAAGGAAGGGACACGCTGCAAGGGACACCGGAGGGCAGCATGTCGGGGACAGGGACCATTTGGAGCGGGGAGAGGGGCCTCTTCGGTGGCACAAAACAGGTCCCTGGGAGCCAGGCTGGAAGGGCCCCTGGGCACCGCTGGGGCGGGGCGGAGGGGCAGGGGAGTCCGGCCTGGGCGCCTCACCTTGCTCAACCCCCAGAAGGACCACCAGCAGCATCGGCAGGAAGACCCTCATTTTGTCGACGACAGGTTCCCGTCTCACGTGCCAGAAAAACCGCCTGCTTTAGAGACACGGCGTGTGGGAGGTGGGACCCTGGCTCCCGCCAGCACCAGTAGCCTGGTGACCCCACTTGTGGGGGGTGGGCTGCAGCTGCTAGAAGCAGAGTTAGAACATGAGGCCTCCCCGCTCCGCCTCCCCCCCCCCCCCCCGTCCCCCGCCCCTCCCGCAGCGCAGACCCCTTCTGGCCGAGACCCGCCCCAAGCCTGGGGCTCTGGCTGTCCTGCTCGGATGGGCACAGTTGCGCCTCCGGGCAGTGCGTGAATCCGCGGGGGCTGCCCTGTGCCCCCTGACCCCGGGGGGAGAGGCCCCTGGCAGTGGGCCGGAAAGAGCACTTTGAATGTGACTAGCTGCGGTTCTGGTCCTGTTTAGCAGGAGGCCTGGCGTAGGAGGAGCCACCATGGTGCCTCCTGCAGGGGCAGCTGTGGCGGGGGAGGGGTGTTTCCAGGCACCGGGAGGAAGAACACCAGAGAGAGAACGAAGAGACTTCGTCGCTGTTCAGTGGGAACCCTGAGAATGGGCCTCACGCCTCTGCTGCCCACCCTGGGCCTGGGCTGAGACCTCGGGGACGGCAGCCGGAGCTGTGGATGCCTCGAGAACCGTGCCAAGCCCTGTGGGGACCTGTCCCTGGGTCCAGGCACTCCAGGGAGAAAGATGCCTGTTCCTTCCTCGTCTCTAAAGTGAGGTTGGGGTGTGGAGGAGCCCTGAGCTGCCCTCATGGCAGCCGTGGCATGCGCAGCCACACACAGTCACAGCCAGCGTCCCCACCACCCCCAGCCAGGCACCCAGCCCAGCTGGTCGAGCCACCTGGAGTGGATCGGCAGCAGCAGGGTCAGGCGAAGGGGGGGTCAGTGCACTTGGGGCCGCTGTCAGCCAGGACCCAGACTCTCAACTCCTCCCCCAGGCTCCTGGGAGTCCAGCGACTCTAGGCCAGCAGAAGAGGCAGACGCCGCTCCTGGTCCCCAGGGATAAGGAGGGACCAGGTGGCCCGGCACAGGGAGCCCGGGTTCCTAGGCACCTCACATCCTTGCATAATCTCTGCCAAACAGGAAGCCTCACCTCTGGCCAGGGCAAGCTCCCGTCCTGGGGTGATGGACCCACTGAGGCGGCCAGTTCTCTCTGCTGCCGCCAAGACTCCAGCCCCTTCTCAGGTCAGGAACGCTGACCCTCTCCCGTCCCCAAGTGAGGGGTCACGGGGATCCCAGAGTTGGGTGATGGGTCCCCAGTGCCTGCGCAGCCCTGGGCTGCCAGCTACGGAGGACGCCTGGCGGCGTTCTCTGCGGGCCCTCGCCCCAGATCTTTGGAAATATTAGGGAGGGCTGAAGGGCTGGGAGCTGGGGCTCAGCCGCGAGGCCGGGCCCACCCGCTTCCGGATTCCCAGCCTTGCTCAGCCTCTTCTGCGTCTCCCCAAGAGGCTCCTTCGCTCGTTCCCCTCCGCGCCCTACAAGGCGTCTTCCGCGGCGCCGGGGCCTCCATCCCGGCGCACCACCCCCCCGCCCCCGCCAGGGCCAGGCGACTCACCGCGCAGGACGTAGCTCCACCGGCGAGCTGAGCTGCCCAAGCCGGACTAGGAGGCAGGCTGCAGCGCGGGAGGCTGGCTGGGCGGGCCGGAGGCGGAGCTGGGGCTGGCGCGGGATGGGAGGTACATTCCGGAGCTGGAGGGCGTGGGGCGGGGGCGGGGGCGGGGGCGGGGGAGGACCCTTCTCCCGGCAGCTCTAGTCAGGCCCCTGGTCCCCGGCTGGGCGGATGTGTGGGAGAGGGGCACCCTGCAATTGCCCTAAGGCCCACAGGTGGCCTGGATGCGCTAGGGGCTGAGCGCCGCGCAGGGAATGCATCCGAGGCAGCAGGCAGGGCAGCCACTGAACTCTCTTGGCAGAGCGGGGCGGGGGTCGGTGAGGGGACAGGTGAGAGGTCTTCAGTCCTGGCTCACCTCCGGCGGAGCTGTTAGCCCTCACATGGGCAGGGCAGGGTGGAGATGACCGGGCCAGCAGCTCGAGGCTGGAGGAGGGGTCACTGGTGTTGGTGGCCTCTGGGCAGTGGTGTGGGCAGCAGTGACCCCCAGCCTGAGAACCCCTGGTGGCAGGGCCACCTCCTATGTGGCGCCCAGCTGGGCGGGGCTGCTGCCCAGGATGGACTCCGGCCTCCTTCCTGTTCGCCGGAAGCGCCCTGTCTGTGGCGAGGGTCCCCGCGCAAGGCCAGCCAGCCCTGAGCCTCGGTGCGGAAACGGGGGCTGGCACAGAGGCCTCCCTGGTGCCCGGGGACCCGTTCCGGGACTTGCCCCTCAGTGTGCCTGCTGCGTGCGTCCTGGCCGGGGCCTTCCCCGCACCCTGTGCCCAGCAGCTGCTCCAGCTTCTGGCCGGCAGGGACCGGACCAGCAAGGTGGGGCAGCTGAGCCGGCACCCTCAGTCAATCACTCTGCGAGCCCCCGGTGGCGCCCTCCTTCCCGCAGAGCCTCCCCCGCCCCCGCGGGCCTGTGAGTCGGGGTCGCATGCCTGTCCCTGGGGGCTAACGGGCTCACACCTCGCCCTTCCAGCGCATCACCTGTCGGGAGGTGTCACACCTCACCTTCCGCTCAGCCTTTCTGGGTGTTGGCGGTGCCACAGCGACAAGGACCCCAGGGGAGGGGAGGCGAGGGGAGGAGGAGGGCGGAGGCAGGCTGGCAGGGTGCCAGGCTGGGGCTGGGTGAGGAGAGGGGCCCCTGACCGTCCCGTGGGCCGGGCCTTGGAGAGCATGAGGTGCCACATGAGGGGTGAGCAAGGGTGAGTGCGTGCGAGTGCGTGCGTGTGTGGGTCTTCGGAGGTCCGGGGTCCAGGCCAGCTCTCTGCATGGTCTTCTGTGACATCGAACGACTGGAGCAGGGGAAAGATCAGCGTGCGAGAGCTTTGGGAGCTTTTTCCTTGGAGGCCAAAGGCATGGCTCTGCGTGTGCCACAAGCTGTCCCCAGCCCAGGTGTGGTGACATTGTGGTGGTGGCACAGCTCTGGGGAGTGGACCCGGCTGTCCTCAGGGACAGGGATGTGCAGCTGGCCTCGGCCCTTGGGGCAGGGCCAGGGTCTGGGCAGGGCTGCCGTGGGCCCCTCTCCTGCAGCGGCTTCCCCAGGTCTCACCCTGAGCTTGGGCGTGTCCTGCGAGGGGGTGGGATGGTCCCCCGCGGCGCTCTGGGGCCCTGCCCTGTCCGGGTGGGAGCGGCGCTGCCCCTTGGTTTTGGTGGGGGCGACTTGCTTGTGGCCTCCCCCAGCACAATACATAACTGGACGAGTACATTTCAGCAGAAATACAGCGGGCCAGGTGGTGTGGTGGGGTCAAGAGGCCACATGCCGAGTGTTCAGAAGCCCGGTGCTGGGAGGATGGCACCGCAGCGCCTTCCCTCGCCTGCCTGCACAAGCCGAGGCCCCCCCCAGAGCTGCCCACTGGCCAGCTGCGGGGAGGAGGCCCAGGGGGCACAGCGAGGCGACAGCTGGCTTTGTAATTTGCACCCCCGGGAAAGCTCTCTGAGGGGCGCTCATGACAGGCTCCAACATCATCAGAAGACAACGCAGACCCCTCCCTGGATGAGGGGTTGACCTAGAGGGACGTTAAGGGTTTGAGAGTGGAGATCTCCCTGTACGTTTCTCCTGGTTGAGGAGCGATCTGGAAATGGCGGGAGGCAGAGCCGGCTCACCGGTGTAGAGCCGGAGACCCCGAGGCCGGCAGCGGCAACTCGTGGGTGGAGACGCAGCGCGGGGCGCCCTTCCGGCCACGCCGAGGGCCGGGGGGGGGGGGCGGGGGGGAGTGTGACGCCTGGGGGCACAGCGCTCCTCCTAGGCCCCGGCCCCGCAGCCCCGCGTCTGGGCCAGGCCGTGGGCTTCCAGGACCCACCTCTCTCCACCTTCTCAGCCCCCCAGCTTTCCCCTGTGGGAGCGCCCCGGGGGCCTCGCTGAGCACCCACCCCTCCCCGCCTGGCGGGGGGGGGGCCTGTGTCCCTGTCCCTGGTGCTGGCTCCGTCCCGCGGCCTTCGCGCGCCCTCTGGTGGTCAAGGCTCGCGTCGCACCCTGCCACAGACTGGGAGGCCGTGGCCGGCCAGCCCTGGCGGCGAAGTCAGGGGGCCGGCCGACTCTCCATCTGCGGGACACTCGGTGGATTCTCCACCACGGCCCGGGGGCTGGCCAACCTCATCCTTTCCCTGTAGCTACTTTGACCTTCGAGGCCTCCGGGCCGCTCCTGCCCTGGGCCCCGGTCCGGTCCCCCGCGCCCCCACGCCGGCCCCGCCGGTCTGGGTTCCTCCCCCTCAGGAGCAAAGCTGCTTCCAGCTTCATCAGGTGTCCCGGGAGTGGGAAGAGCCGTCCGTGGAGACACCCGCTGCTGTCCCTCTGGGCAGCGGGCCCTGGGTGCCCAGTCAAGTGCTGAACCCAGGACGCTGCAGCCCGGCCTGCGGCCCAGCTGGGCTGAAGAGCAGTTGGCAAAGGCCAGGACTGAGACTGCACCCCGGGGACACAGAAATCTGCCACCTGTGGCCAACGGGAGCCTGAATGGCTGGAGGCCAGGCATGCGCCTTCCATGCCGGTTGCCTCCAGCGGCTTCATTCCAGCCTCTGACCTTGACAGGCTTCTCAAAACCCTCAGCCCTGCCAGCGGGTCTGCCGCCCGCAGAGGACCCCCTTGGGCACAGCGGGCAGGCTCCTGCACGCCCAGGCCCAGGCCCAGGCCGCGGCCTCAGCTGAGCTCCGTGGCCGCCACCCTCAGCCAGCAGGGGGCAGCAGCTCCAGCCCGAGAAGAGCCGTGGGGCTGGTGTCACCAGGCCTTTGCAGAGGAGCTCGATCGTCAGCTTTCCTCCTCAACTTTCCTCCAGCACGTGCAGGAAACGCAGCGCTCAGCAGGGCAGACGGGAGAGGAGACAGTCCGCGAGGCCGTGCCCACGCCTGGTCCGGCCATTAGGATGGCCTGCCCTCAGGGAGGGGACCCGCTGGGGTCCCTGCCAGCTCTGTGCTCTCCCGCACAGCTTTGTGCCCTGTCGCAGGGCCCCACTGGCGGGCGCCGTTCGCCCCCTGCTGTCAGCAGCTGCCTTCTCCAAGCCACAAGGACGATGGAGGGACAGGGAGGGCGGAGGACACTACGGATGGGTGGGGACAGCGTCAGTCTGGGTGCTCTGGGAAGCTGGCTCCAGGGGACACTGAGGTGCCGGAGACGCAGTGGCAGGGGACCTGTGGGAGGGAAAGGGGGACCGGGAACTTGCAAGAGCCTTCTGGCTGCGAAGCAGGGCGCGGTCCCTGCACAGAGGGAGGGCAGAAGGGGGCCGGGGCCAGAGAGCAGCGGGGTGCGTGGCCGGCGGGCGGGCAGGGCCGCCCTGTACCTCCTCCTCACGCAGGCCATCCCCTTCTGGGCGCCAGGGAAGGGACGCAGGAGGGAAGCCGTTAAGGGGCTTCGTTGTCACAACATTTCATCTGCTGCCTGCCTCGTGGCTCTTTGAACTTCTCGCCTGTCTGCTGACTGAGGGTCTGGCCCCTCTGGGGAGCTCGCCTGAGTGACCGCCACCTCGAGCCAGGCCTCAGCCTGGCCCCCAGACCCAGCTCTCTCCGGAGTGTGGGTGAGGCTCAGGATGTGGGGGGCGCGCTGCCTTGGTCGATCCCGGGCCGAGGCCAAGGTCAGGCTCACTGCCCTGGGGGCGCACCACGGTTCTCTGTGCTGGGGGGGCCAGGCCCCCTCCGCCGTCCGGGGGCTCCCGCCACTGCGAGCACACTTCTGTGAGTTTCTGAGCAAAACGCACTGTGCGGAATGTACTTTTTAATTATGACCAATATATGTAAATTCTTACTGTGGGCCCAGTTGGTATTTTCCTATTCTACCCAGGTTACTTCATTCCCACTCTATTCTCTATTTACAAAACAATCAAAAGCCACTCCATGGATTTCATCATCCAGAGTTCTGGAAGCAACAAAGAAGCCTCTAGTTCAGGACAGGAACCCTTCGGATGACCTTCAGACTTTCTATAGAGAATAGAAGTGCTTCTAATGGAATAAAAGCATTAAGTTGCAGAAAGACGTTAAATGCCAAATGAAAATGAACTGATTTCCCTGGGCCACGGAAGACAGACTCGGACCCCCCCCCCGTCCCGCCTCTTCCCCTTCCGTGAGTGGCAGCGTGCCTCAGGCCAGGAGCCAGCAAGTCTGGGGCAGGGGTGGGGAGGCCCTTTGGGTGGAGACGGGGCAGAAACTGGCCGGAGACGGCCAGGGGGGAGCGGAGGCCGGAGTCCTGGGCGGAAGGCAAATCTTGCTGAGGGAGTGAGCGAGAGTGACTGAATCACTGAGCGAGGGCGTGAGCGGGTGAGTGAGGGCGTGAGCGGCTGCTGAGAGCAGGGAAGGAATGAGGCTGCCCACCGCGCCCCTCCCTCCAGAAGGGCTGTCATTGTGAGTTTTCTCTTCGTCCCTTTGAGACGGATTTCAATCTTCTCTACTAGCAGGCTTGGGATGAACTGTTCGTGTCCGGAGGCGCGGCCAGATCCCTGCCCGGGAGGCCCTTCATGCGCTGCCGTTGCGACCTCCTACCTCTCGCCTGGGGCGCACGCACTTGCTTTAATGCTGATTCAATAACACATTGTACGTGTGCAGAGGTTTTCTGTGTTGGCAGGAACTTTATGATTTGTTTTATTAAATATTTTATTTTTTAAATTTTAGACAGAGGGGAAGGAAGGAGAAAGAGAGAGAAACATCCATGCGTGGTAGCCTCTCCCGCGCCCCCTACTGGGGACCTGGCCTGCAACACAGGTGTGTGCCCTGACTGGGGATTGAACCAGAGACCCTATGGTTCACAGGCTGGCGCTCAGCACACTGAGCCACACCAGCTGGGGCAGAAATTTTGTTTTTAATTATATTCCTTGACACAGCAATTTGCTGGCTGATGTGACAACTGCTCACAGAGGTCACCGGCGCCGGCATGGTTAAGGTGCTAACTTCAGTTCCTGGGGGTCCTGGTCCTTTGAACTTGTCCTGGACCTTGGTGCGCTCTGTTCTCTCCCGTCTGCCCCCCCGTCCTGGCCGAGCCCCCTCCCGTCCCCAGCAGACGGGGGTACGTGGTGGCTGCTGCCTGGCTCCCAGTGGGGAGGAGGGGACTCTTCGCCAGCCACCAGGCCCTCTCCTGGCCCAGGCTTCCGCCCGCGGGCGCTGGGTGCTGCTCAGAAAGGGGAGGTGGCCTGGGGGGCGGGGCGGGCAGAGGCCCGGGCCCAGGACTCGGAGGGTAGGATCCTGTTTTCCAGTCATTGGTTCTCATTCTTGGGAGCCTCTCCCTGTGAATGGCCATGGAATGGGGAACATCTTGGCCCAGGTCCTCTTGTTCTGGTGGGACTGGGCCATGCCCCAGGGACAGGGACAGGGACAGGGTGCGGTTCTGGGGAAAAGGGAACTGGAGGGCCACCAGGGTTGTGCACATAGGGAGCCAGCCCACGCTGCTCTGCGGGTGAGGTGTCCCCTCCCTACACGCGAGTGGGTGCACCGCACGCCATGCACGTGTGCCCGCTCCCGCACACGCACACCGCTCCCCTTGGCGCTCCGCGTGCCTCCCTGCCAGGTGTGACCAGGGAAGCCGCCTCCCCATTGCACAGAAAGGAGAGCAAGGTGCAGGCCTCAGGGCCACCTGTCCACCTCTGTGCAGCAGGTGCAGGCAGGACAGACACCGAATCCAACTGACGGGAAGACGCACTTGGACCGAAGCCAGTCAGTGTTCTCGAGGCCACCGCTGCGCAGGCCTGTGCCCACAGGCCCCTCAGGGGTGGGCAGAGGCGGCGGCGGCGGCACCTGAGGCCTCCCTCTGCCAGCTCCTGGGGGCCCGGGGGCCTCTAGTCTGCAGACACACAGGGGACCCCAGCAAGAGTCAGCTGTCGAGAGGAGGGGTGATGAATACTTGGGGGCCCGGCCGCGGAGCGGTGAGAGCCCTGGGCCGAGCAGCCTGGAGTCTGGGAGCTGGGGAGGCCGGGCTGTGGGAGGGGGACGGGCCGGGACGTCCCAGCTGCAGGGACAGTGCAGGGCAGGGCACGCCGGCCAGCTCCGGGGCCGGGCTACGCCCCTGGCGAGGGCGCTGGTGAGCTGTGGGGGTGGGGGCACGCCGCGTGGGCCGTGTCACGCCCGGTATCGGACCGTGGCCATCTGGGCGCTGCAGATATAAAAGCTGTGCTATGTTTGAAACTTCTTGGAAAGTGTGAACTGATTTCAGGTGAAAAGTTAAAAATCCTTGAAAAGCAGCAGGGAATGGGCGGGGGGCAGCTGAGTGGCTCTGGGAGTGGCCAGCTCTGCGGGGTCGCCTTCCGGTTTGCAAGCCCTTCTGCCAGCAAGGCACCTCTGCCCCCCAACCTCGCCCTGAGGCGCCTTGTCCCCATCGGTGGTGTCCCGGCCCCTCTTTCGGTCCCTCGGGACTGGAGACTCACAGGAAGGAGGAACTTCCCGATTCCCCAAGGCCAGAGGTCCCGCCTTGCGGGGCACGTCCCCTGCTCAGGCCCTGCCCGTAGGCCGCTTCGCAGCTGGGGAGGAGCCGCCCCCTTGGGCGGGGTGGGGACTGAGCCTCCCTTTCAGCTCTGGTGGTGAGAGGCCCCCAGTGCCTGTGCTCCAGCGAGGGAACCGGCAGCTGGAGCCGGAGACCACACCCCAGCTGCCAGCGCAGGGGTGAGGGCAGCACTCCGGGCTGGGTGCTGGTTCCCGCTCCATGCCTCAGTTTCCCCACTGTGCTGGTCTCCGGGGGGGTCCCTGCACCCACACCCAGGACGTCCTCGGGGCCAGGGGGAGCCTTCTCTTCCAGGAAGATGTAGCTGGGGGGCCTGGGAGAAGGTGCAGCTCTGGCCACCCCGTCCCAAGGCGTGGAGCCAGGGCTGCGTGTGCAGGTGCGCAGACGGGAAGGCAGTGTGACAGACGACAGAGGGAGGGCACCAGCCCAGGCTGCCGGCCAGGGGTCTCCCAGTGCCTCGCCCCCACAGGGCCCTGGACAGCTGCCTCCCCCGAAGGGTCCCTGGAGGGGCTCCCAGGACTGGGGGCTGGGGCTCAGGGCGCAGGCCTTGGAGGAAGTGCTTCTTGGAAGGTGTGGGGAGGGCCCCTGCGGGCTGCGGAGGCGGCTCCTCCGGGCACGGCCCCCCAGCCCCTCAGGCCCTCGGAGTTGGTGCCCGAGGTGGGGTTGAAGCCACGACTGACTGCCGTGGAAGTGGTTGTGGGGACCCGCCTGCCCCCCGCGGGCTTAGTGACAGACAGAGAGGAGTTGGGTGCCGCCAAGTTTATTTTCGCTCTGCGGGCTGTGCACTGGTGGCAGGCTGGCCGAAGGGGCCCTCGGGGCGGCTCTCCCGGAGGCCCCTGTCCGGCAGGTGGTCTCTGCTTCGTGGGTCGGAGGTTAACTGATGGTGCTGGCAACACGCGAGAGGCTTGTCGGCACAGCGGCGTCAGTGCTGGGGCAGGGCCCCGCCTGCCTCCCTGGACTTTGCACTGGGAGGAGCACCGCCCACAACCTTTGCAGGGCACTCCCAGGCCTGGGCGTGCGCGCCTGTGCCTGCGTGCCTGCGCGTGACCGGACGCGCTTGCTGAGGCGCGTGCATGCGGACTGTGTGGCGCACAGTCGCCCGGTCCCTCCGCTGTGCCCTCGATGAGGTGCTCACAGCAGGGAGAGGAGGGCCGGCCCCAGGCTGAGCAGGACCCCCCCAGCCAGGGCCCAGAGGCCGCGCTCCGCCGGGGCTGCCGCGTTGCAGAGGTCGCGTTCACAGCAAGAGACACCTTTCACTTCCATCTTAGGGCCCGGCGAACCAGGCCTCTGCGTTTGGTTAGCTAATGCCTCTATCTGTTTGGTAGCCTCCTCACACGAGGGGCCACAAGCCGATGTTGTCGACTCGATCTTCTGCCCTGCAGGCAGGAAAAAAGTGAACGCCCCGGTGACCCTCCGGGCCGCCCGTGGTCGCCTGCCCCCTTGGCCGTTCATCCCTCTGCTGGGAGACCCCGCGCCCCAGGGGGCCTCTTGCAGGCTGCCCTGTGCAGGGGATGCGGGAGCGCGGACAGGCAGCAGCCCTTGGGGACGGGGACACTGGAGCCTGCCACACCCACACTCTTTCCACGACCCCCCTGGACCCCCTCCGGCCACACACACCCTTTGGGCGCTGGGAACTCACCGGCCGTCCAGGTGGTGACTAGGTTGGCCCTGTAGCAGACCGTGTCTCTCGGTCCGCATGTCATGACCAGGCAACTCTGGGCTTCCTGAGTCCCGGAACAGAGGTGGCACCGAAGACTCAAGGCTGGGGCTGGGTGGGGACCCAGATGATGCTCAGGGGACAGGAGGCCTGGCTTTAGACCCCGGCAGACGGGAACCACCAGCCGACCTGGAGCCTGGTCCCCGCGCAGCATCTGCAGGCCCCTGCGCGGGCACTGCGGGCCCGCCCTCCGGCCGGAGCTCATACCCCTCAGTGCTCGCGGAGCACGGGGGCGCTGCCGACCCACGCGCCCACTCCCAGGACGGGTCCAGGCCAGCGCGCTGGCACTCACCGAGCTCGGAGCACAGCAGGACCACCAGCAGGACAGGATGGAGGCCTCTCATGGTTCCGGGACAGCACGTGGCGAGGGAAGAGCCTAGGAGTGTCGCAGGGTCAGGTTCAGGCCCTCCCCAGCCCTGGCCCTCCATGGCTGACCCGCCTCACCTGGCCTCCTCCTGGCGCCACTCACTGAGGACTCACCTCTGGCTTCAGCCACCTGCATCGCCACAGCTTCTGGGCCCACCTCCCCGCAGGCGCACATATATGGGGACCTGCACCACGCCTCTGGCTGAGGACTGTCAGGCCACGCCTGTGGAACCAGGGTGTGCTTAAGTGCTTCTGAAGTTCAAGGGCACCAGATGCCTAACAATAGGCCAGACCACAAGCTCCTGCACTTCCTTGAGCATTAAACACTATGGTAACGGCTGGGCCTCACCCAGGTTTCAGCCAGAGGAGTCCCAGGCTGGAAGGACAGCGGGTGTGTAGGGTAGCTGTGGGGTGGAAGGAGTGGTTGGTGCTTGTGCGATTTGCAGGAGGAAGTGGGTGCCCCCCCCCCGCCAGAATTGTGCAATGGCCTGTCCCACTTCCTTCCTCCTGTCCCCAGTCCCCCCGGTCCTGTCATAGGTCCTCCCCGCTTGCACCAGGAAAGGCCTCCAAAACAATCCACAAAGGCAGAAAACATTTTAAACGTTAAATACGTCGTGTTTGCTTGTTTTACTGCTGCCTATGAAGTCATGCATGACAAGGAATTTTGTATTCAGTGTGTCTCTGTACACTTCTTAGGTTGAAATCAGAATTTTTATAGTCTTAAAGATCTAGTGCATGTAGCGGTAGGGAGTTAGCCAGTCCTCAGCAGAGCAGGAACGGGGGGGGGGCGTTGCAGACGGTTGCCAGGTGGGGAGCCCCAGAGGCCCAGGAAAGGGCAGAACCGCAAGTCCTTGCACAACCCCTTCCTCAAGCATTCGTCTCTGAAGGAGCCACACAGGCCTCGGCTGGGTTTCAGCCCCGAGGCCAGAGAAGCAGCAGCCTCAGACAGAGCAACGCCGAGGCTGCTCCAGCGCGAGAACCATGCGAAGGGAATAGCCACGCTCACCGCTCAGAAAGAAGCGGTCACACTTCACACAGGAGGAGTATGTGTGAAATACGAGGGGTGGCAAACCCCAGTTCCAGACCCAAGTCTGCGGGTCTGGGAGCCAGCACGGTGGGCAGGGGGCCATCCGCGGCCTCCGACACGGGGCTCTGGTGCCCCGTCCGCAGCAGGGCAGCTGCCACCGGCGTCCCCCTCCTCATCCGTTCACGTCCATGGGTCGTACATACAAGGTCTTTGGCGTCTCCATTTCCTACGCTATTCTCTGTGCTCTCCCCGCCTATTTTGTACCTGCTGTTTATGCTGCTGATTCCCTGTAGCTTTTCCCCCCCACTCTCCCCCCTTCGCGCCCCCCCCCCTCCCCCGCCGATAACCCTCCCTGTGATCTCCATTTCTGGGATTCTCTTCCTGTTCTAGTTGTTTGCTCAGTTTGTATTTGTGTGTGTTTTTGTTTTTTTAGGTTTAGTTGTTGATAGTTGCGATTTTGTTGTCATTTTACTGTTCCTAGTTTTGATCTTCTTTTTCTTAGACAACTCCCTTTAACATGCCATGTAATAAGAGCTTGGTGGTAGTGACCTCCTTTAATTTGACCTCGTCTGGGAAGCACTTTGTCGGCCCTTCCAGTCTAAAGGACAGCTTTGCAGGAGAGGGTGACCTTGGATGCAGGTCCTTGCCTTTCATGACTTTGAATACTTCCTTCCAGCCCCCTTTTGCCTGTAAGGTTTCTTCTGAGAAATCAGCTGATAATCTGATGGGAGCTCCTTTGTGGGGAACTGTCTCCTTTTCTCTTGCTGCTTTTCAGATTCTCTGCTCATCTTTAATCTTGGGTGATTTAGTTATGACGTGTCTTGGTGTGGTCCTTCTTGGGTCCAGCTTGTTTGGGACTCTGATATTCTTGGACTTGCATGTCCATTTCCTGTGCCAGATTAGGGAAGTTTGGCTTCATTATTTTTTCAAATAAGTTTCAATTTCTTCCTCTTCCTCTTCTTGTGGCAAAACTATGATCAGGGTGTTGGACATTTAAAGCTGTCCCGGGGGTTCCGAAGCCTCTCAGTTTTTTGAATTCTTGTTTCTCCATTTTTTCCAAGTTGAATGTTTATTTCTTCCTTTCGTTCAATATCATTGATTTGAATTTTATTCCCTTCACTGTTGGCTCCCTGTATATTTTCCTTTATTTCTCTTCCCATAAACTTCACTTCCACCTTTATTTTTGTGGCCATACTGAATCATTTCTGTGAGCATCCTGATCACCAGTGTTCTGAATTCTACATCTGACAGGTTGTCACTCTGCTCATCACTTAGTTCTTTTTCTGGAGTTTTGATCTATTCTTTCATTTGGGCCATATTTCTTTGACTCATCGCACCTGTTATGTTGTAAGGGGCGGAGCCTTAGGTGGTGGCCAGAGTAGGAAAACCCCCCTCGCTGCGCCGTGGTGCCGAATGTGGGGAAGGGGTCCGAGAGAGAACAGCGCTGCTTGCTCAGCTGTCGCCCCGCTTTCAGCCACTCCCACCGCTACCCAAAAGCGAATTGGGCCCTCCAGGTGCTGATTCCCGGGAGGGTGGGTTTATATACATTCTAGGACCCCATGGGCCCCTCCAACAGACTCTCCTGTGAGGCGGGGAGTTTCTTCCGCCGCCGCTGCGGCCCCCACAGGGTTTTACAGCCAGAGGTTTTGAGGCTTTCTTCTCCCCTGCTGGAGCCCTGGTTTCGCAGCCTGTCTTGCTCCCCTGTTGTTCCTCCAGGTTTATGCGACACAGAGGTGGGACCACCCGGTCTGCCAGCCACCCCCTCCCCTTACGTCCGCCCCACCGGGCTGTCCATCTCCGTCCCTCCCGCCAATCTGGGTGCATGTTTCTTCTTGAGCTCCTGGGTTGCATGACTTCCACACAGTTCAATGTTCCGGCAGTTCTGGTTGTGTTCTGTTTTTAAATCGGCTGTTGTCCTTGTTTTGGTTGTGCAAGGAAGTGAAGCGTATCTGCCTCCACCTCCACCCTGGCCGGCAGTCCAGTAAATAGCATTCTTTAGCTTGACAAGTTTCTTTCATAACTTTCAGAAACGGTTTTGTCTTCCACTGGCCAAAAACACTCACATTTTTATTCTTGGCGATCACTGCATTTCTGTATGTGCTCCCAAGTGAGCTGCTTCGTGGTCTCATGCCCTCGGCAACTTGGGAGGCTGGAGGAGGGCCAGGGAGGTCAGGCTGGGCACGGCTTGGGCCGCTTAGCTTTTAAAATGTCCTTTCTTTCCCCTTGTTTTTTTTCCTGAGTTTTTCTGCATGAGAGCGGAGTGAGATCTATTCTGCTGTTCAAACCATCAATTTAAATCCTTTCTCAGTAGATTCCTTGTGACGTAACAACACGAAAAGCTTGTACATAAGAGATCTCATCCCGTCTACCAGAAGTAGACCTTTAGCAAAACAATTCCATTCCTTTCTAAACAGAAACAAAAACAAAAACAAAATCTAAAGCAAAGACAAAGTTCCAGTAAACAAGTAATCTGAAACTAAACCCTTTACAAGGAGGGACTGGAACAGTAGCCTATATTCTCTTATTTTTATTTATTTATTTACTTTTAGAAGAGGGGAAGAAAGGGAGAAAGAGGGAAAAATTTATGTGGAAGAGATACACCTACCAGTTACCCCCCACAGGCCTGTAACCGGGGGCCTGGCCCGCAACCCTGGCATGTGCCCTGGCTGGGAATCGAACACATGACCTGCCAATTCGTAGGCCAGCACTCAGTCCACCGAGCCACAGCAGGCAGGCCAAGCCTTAGAATCTGATCTCACACAGACAAACGACCCTGTCGAAGCCCCTATGGCACAGCCCAAGTGGCAGAGACAGATGATCCCCAGTGGATACAAAACAGCAAAGATCAAGCCCAGTCCCCAAAAGATAAGAAACCAAGCAAAGAATAACTGTAGCCAAGACTGGCAGAGCTGAGCTTTTGAAAGGAATTGACTCATGGAACCGAGAAATAGAAAACAAAACTAAGCCATGGCTGGTGAATTCCTGTGAGCTGAGCAACAGGATGCAAAACTGAAAGCTCACCGGCTCTGTTTCCGGGTAAGGTTACATGCCCGGGATGCACGCTCTGCTGGATGTCCTCTGCTGGGGGCCCTGCGCCCTGTTCCGGGCGGGTGGGGACACGGGAGAGGCACCCGATTGATGTTTCCCTGTCACATGGATGTGTCGCTCCCTCTCTGTCTCCCTCCCTCCCCCACTCTAAGATTCCCAAGCAAATTTCTCTGAACAATAAAATTCCAAATAAAAACCACAACTATTAAGATTGGAGGCCATTTCCATCAATGCCCCAGATGAGTGCCCATGGACTCCTCAGAGACTCATTTCCTTTCACCAACAAAGAGCTGGAAGGCGGCCCGTGCCCTCAGGGGGGAGCAGGGAGAGTCCCCAAGATGAAGAACGGGGCGATTCCCGCCACCTCTGCCGCAGGCTGAGGCAGGAGACAGACAGCACAGGAAGGGCTCTGAGGAGGCACAGCTGTTGCTGGCCAGCGTCCAGCATCCTGGTTGCGAGGCGACACCTCTCAGCACCCAGGTAGAGTGAATAGCAAGCCAGGGCAGGGAGGAGGAGGACGACGTGCGGCACCCACTAGCTCAGCAGTCCTGAGTCTGGTCGGACAGTATTGCCCGGTGTTCCAGCCTCCCAAGTTAGCCCGGAAAGAGGGAGCCCTGGAAGTTCTGGGTATCGTTCCCATTGTCGGGACGGAGAGCCTTTGGGGAGCAGTGCTCCCTCCCTCCCCAAGGCCCGGAGGGAGGGAGAGGGCCCACTGTGCCCAAAGGAAGAAGCCCATTGAACAGCCCTGGTCACTGTCTGTTTCCGGGGGGAGTCCCTAGTGTCTAGAGAAAGAGCCCAGATCTGGCTCTGGGCGGCTGCCCCGACTTTCGCTAACTGCGCCCTGCCGTGCGTCTGTTTCACAGCAAGACGAGCACGTGGAGTCCGGGGCAAAAGAAGGGTCGGGCTAACAGACCCGCACGCGGACCTAGGTTGGGTCATCACGTCCCCTCCCCACCGCGGGGTAGCTGACGCCACGTCTACCGCCCATCGATAGGAAACCCTTGTGGTCCGATCCCGCCAGCTATGTAAGTGCTCAGAACAGAGGACTCACGCTTCCCGCGCTCTCGGCCATCTGGCCGCCCGGCCTCAGGCCGCGGGGCCTCTGGCCTCCCGGGGGCTGGCTGCCGGGCCTTCTGCCGCCCGTCCACTCGCCACCCCCTTTGCCCTGAATCTGCGTCTCTCCCCAGCCCTCCCGCTTTGGCCAGGCCTGGTATCTGCCATGGAAATGGATCACTAATGAACCCTGATCGCTCGCTAATAGGGCTCCTGACCGGTGATTCTTTACACTTGTCGGCAAGAAGGACCGGGTGTCTTCCGTCTGCAGGGTCAGCCTGTCACAAGCAGCTGGGAACACCCTCAGGCCCTCACGGCCTTCCTGGGACCCCACATGGTCCCATCTGGAGTCTCCAAAAACTGTAACCGAAAGCAGGTCCGCCTGCCCACAGCTACAAAAGCCAGTGCTCAAGAGGCAGGTGCTGATGTAAAGCAAAGTGGTTTATTTGCCAATGCCGGCCACCTCAGAGAGGAGGACTCACGTCTCAAAGCCCACCTCCCCCTCTCAGCGGTGGCGGGAGGGAGAGTGGCGTGGAACACTGAGGTCAGGGGAGGGGGCTGCCAAGTTCTCTTCATGGTGATGAGCGCAGGCCATTCTGATAAGGTGGGTGGTGGTCCGCTGCGCATCACCCAGGCTTCATGCTATCGTGGCTCCATGGATGAAGGTGAGCAAATCTCCTGGAGCCGGGATGCTTGAAGGCCAGAATGTGTACCTTTAAACAAATGCTCATAGGATTTTGATACACACAGGCCGTTTATCTACAAGCTACATATTAGTAAGAGTCAGTACTTAGAGAAACAACTCCAAAGGACGGTGGGGTGGGGTGTAATTTCCCACTGTTACAATTCTGCACTGCTACATATTTCCCATGTCAAGTTTTCTTCCATTTCTATGAAAGTTAGATGGTTATAGTCAAAACATTTCCGAAAGTTAGGAAAATTCAAGATTCAGTCTCATTCAGAAGTGAAAAATAAAAGTTTAGACAATTCACTGGATCACAGTCTGATTTCTCTAACTGTATTATAGACTTTACTGAACCACAATTTTTCTTCTAAGTCATCCTCCTTTCTATCAAAGAGCCAAATCAAGATCAACTCATTTACTGCTTTAAGTTTAGTTTTATTTGGCTCGATTATTTGAATGAACACAGTAGGGATAGCCATTGACTATATAGGAGTTCTTAAATCTACTTGGCTGGAATGCTACAAAGAATTTTCATGTCGAACCTTAAACAGCCGTGCCGGGCAGAGAAGCCAGGTCACACGATTGCCACTGGGCTTTGCCCGCAATACCTGCAGATATGGGTGAGTTCCTCAAGTTCTCGAGGTCCCCCAAATGTCTTGAGGTTCTTCTCTGTGACCTCCCAGGAAAGCAGCCTTTGCTTCTCGCCCGAAAGGCTGCCATGGACTGTATGAATAAGCAAGGTACCAGGCCATTTCTCTGAGGGGCTTTTATCAGCCCCAAGGTCAATCTTTATTCTTTAAAGGTTTTCATTGACATCCAGAGTCCAGGCCTGTCTCTCTCAGACATGACATTCCAGTCAAATTCTTGGTTGATAAGTCCACAATTGGAAATGGAAGAAAGTCACATTCCTAATGAACCCATGAAGAAAATACTGCCATGAAAATACTACTACTCACTCATTGAGAGTTTCCCAATTCTGCAGAGGTCATGTAGGGAGAAAAACATGGCTGCTTCACTATTGCTACGGTTTACCAAATTGCCCTGTGAAAACCAACGTTTTTAACAATCAGCAATATTTTGAACAAAGTCACAAGAATGAGAATTATCCCCAGTTCATTCAGTTCCACAATCGATTCTTGTTTTTCCTGATTCTTTGCCCGTATCTATGAATTTGGCCCTGCTCCAGAGTCCATAAATACCCACTCATTTCCAGGGTATAATCTGAAAATTTATTCTCAGAAATTCATATTTTAGAGTCAGTCAGGGTCTTTTTGATGGGTCTTTCTGAAGATGTAACATTTTTTCAAATGCATCAGAGTAAAACAATGACTGTCTCTACATGACAAAAAAAAAAAACCCCTAAAATGACAGTTATAGACCTGATTACAGTGCAATTGAGAAAGAAATTTGCCATTACTGTAGAAACATTTTATGATAACAATCAGAATTGCAAATAAAAGTGTATCCAACCAAGAAACCAAATCATTTGTTCCCCAGTCTCTAATTATAGCTGGGGTTTCTGTTGGGAAATAGCAATTGGTTCTGGAAAATAAAAGGTAGTATTTAGCCTTTTTGTTTGTATTGCCATAATTTATACCTTTTGTTATGAACGCCATATATTCCTTCCCAACTGAAGTAGAATTTTCAATTTTTAGTGAAAACAAAAAGTAATTAGCACCTTTAGATTGACATGTTTATTTCAGAACTGGCAGAAAATTCTTTCTTCTGGTCTAAAACTAATTTCTTTTTAAAAAGGAAGGAATTTTAAAAAAGGGACATCTTTGTAGACTTTAAAGTGAAAGTGAAGGGGTGTAGAGAACTGAAAGGTGTATTTTTATTTAAAGATTTTATTCATTTATGTTTTAGAGAGAGGCTAAGGAAGGGAGAAAGAAAGGGAGAGAAACATCTATGTGTGGTTGCCTCTCGCGCGCCCCCTACTGGGGACCTGGCCCACAACCCAGGCCTGTGCCCTGACTGGGAATCGAACTCTCGACCCTTTGGTTCTCAGGCTGGCGCTCAATGTACTGAGCCACACCAGCCGGGGTCGAAGGTGAGCTTTCCAAGCACCCAGAGATGCTTTCATGCAGATGTCGTTTCCAAAAAGTGCACGCTCGTTCAGAAGCGAAACCCTCTGGTGGGGAGGGGCAGAGGGGCAGTGGGGGCGGGGTTGGTCTCTGGGCTCAGAGGCTCCCTGAACGAGTGCGAGGGTCTGGGCAGCGAGCTGACCTCTCGAAGCCTGGGTTTCCTCCTTGTCAAGTGCTTGCCACCGTGGCTGTTGTGCACGTTGAGTGGACACATGCACTGAGCTTTGCCAAATGGCTATGCTCACTGTAGGGCCGCGATATTTGGTTGTGACTCCACAGCTGCCGTCACCCATGGCTGGCTCACCGTGGAGCTGGGCCCCAGGCAGCAGAGGGGCTCTGGAGCGGTGGGAGGAGACATTCCCATTTAGTGGGTGCCCGTGAGCTTTCCCAATGCCCATCCTGTGGCGTCCTCACCGGTGAGATGGGGCTTGTTGTCACACAGGGTGCCCTGTGACAAGCAGAGGCTCGGGGCAGCGAGGGCTGGCCCACGTTGGGAGTCAGGGCCCCAGGCTGTGCCTGTGTGGCCCAAGCCTGGCACCTCCTGTCTCCTCCCTGGGACTTCCCCAGTCCCTGCCGCGGCGCCTGCCAGGGCAGTGCGGACCGCACCGCTGGGCGGAGGCCTCCTCGCTGCGGCTGGAGTGGCGTGCTGAGGTGTGTGCAGACCCTTGTTCGCCAGGGGACCGAACGGACTCCCTGTGGGTGGCTCACTGCCAGCAGGCTGTGGGGCCAGAAGCGTGGGCCCCGCTCCCTCGCTGCCGTGGTGTGGCCTCAGCGCCTGGCTCTCACCGGATGGCATGGGGGGAGTGCAGCAACCCCACCCCCCGCCTTGCCTCCAGAACCTCTTCTTATGTGGAGGGTGTCACCTGGCCCTAAGCGGTGGGGGACGCATGGCTCCCTCCTGCCCTCTAGGAGACCCCGGCCGGCTCCCAGCTGCTCAGAGCTTCTGCCACCCATGAGGTGAGGGTGGCCCGTATCCTGAGGGTCAGTGTGAAGAGGCAGCTGGCACTTCAGAGAGAGGGCTTTATTAAAGGGGACACAGGGCTGCGCTTGGCCAAGACGGCCCCACTCCTTCTTCCAGAGGCTTCTCTGTCATCACCCTGATGTTAGCCATGAGGTTCACTGTCCTTCCAGCCTTCAGGTACGTATCACTGGCCCAGGCATCTGAGTCAGCCTCTCGGTGGTCCTTCTTCTGGTGAACAGTACCGACAACCTGCGTCTCCAGGCCCTTGGCTGGGAGGCTCAGCCACAAACACAGAGGACCGGCAGCAACAGGCTGCCCAGGCGGAGCCACATGGGCTGGGCAGAACAGGCAGGGGGGCAAATGCCAGGCCAGCGGGAAGGTCAGCTCTAGGCAGGCGCCTTGCAGACGAGAAGCAGGGCATTTGAAAAGCCGGAGAGCAGGACAGGGGGCCTGTGCTGTCAGGTCGGGCGCGGGGGAAGAGCTGAGTACAGGGGCACGTGAGGCTGGGCGGGGGCAGGGGGCAAGGTCAGCGGCCCCCACAGATGGGCACACGAGGAGCCGGGGAGCTGGCGCTGGGATGCCGGGGAAGAGGAGGTGTCCGGTGGTTTCTGGTAGGAGAAGGTGCTGGTGGGACTGGGGACATGACCAGGACCTGCAACCAAGACTCATCCCCAGCTCTTCCCTGGCTTTGCCGCGCCGCCGGGCACGGCCTGACCTCCGAGGCCTGGGCCGTTCCGTTTGTGCGAGGTGCTGGCTCGACCGCCGTGCGGCTCAGGGGGCCGGGCCCAGGGGAGAAACGGGGACGGCCGGGGGTCAGGCCGAGGGGCCCGGCGGCGTTCCCAGCGGGCGCTGCGGTGACGTGACTAGTCGATGGCCCGGAAGGTGAGGAGCGGGATGGTGGAAGGCATCAGGACGAACCGGTAGACCATCCTGATGTCCTCCTGCGTGAGCGTGTCCACCTGGAAGTGTTTCAGCACCTAGGACAGAGGCGCGGTTCCACCTGGCCCACGGCTCCGCCCGCGGCGGCCCCGCCTCCCCGCCTCCGCGCCCCCGGGCCCCCTGCCGCGCCGCCGCCCGGGCTCAGGCCGCTCACGTGGTGCAGCAGAAGCAGCGCCTCGGTCTCCGCCACGCGCCGCCCCAGGCACTGTCGCGGGCCAAAGCCAAAGGCCAGGTGGGGAAGCCTGTTGCTGGAGCCCGTTTGGAGCCAGCGCTGGGGGTCATAGAGCTCCGGCCTCGGGAACACGGAGGGGTTCCGACCCAGGCTGTAGAGTTGCACGAGGACAAGTGTCTGCGGGCGGGGGAGGGGCAGAGTGAGCTGGCGCCGGCCGGTCCCCTGGCTTGGTGCCTGCTGGAGGGGCTGTGGGGCCTCACTCACCCCAGCGGGGATGTGGTAGTTCTGCAGGACCAAGTCCGAGCTCACCTGCCGCTCCACGGTGATACCCACCGGGTACAACCTGCGCACAGGGGCAGCCGATGGGGCCCTCAGCTGGGACAGGGCCCCTTGGCTGCCTCGTCCAGGGCACCGCAGCCAAGGGCAGCTCCCCACCCTCACAGGTCCCTTTGTCCCCGGGAAGCTGCACCCACGCACCTCCTGAGCCCAGCCTAAGCTCCCTCAGCCTGAGCAGCCTCCTGGCTGAGGACAAGGCACAGGCTGGCGCGCGGGACGCTGAGGTGGGATCCCAGAGGACAAAGCGCCCCGTCCCTTTAGGGAAGGGAGGAGGAGGAGGTGCAGGGGAGGCCTGTTTGGACACAGAGCCCCAGGATCTGTGCCCAGCCCCGTGAGCGCTGCACTCCAGGCCGCAGCGGCCGGGCGCGGCGCCTACCTCAGCGTCTCCTTGAGGGCGGCCCGCAGCAGGGGCAGCTCCGCAGGTGCCCTCTGGGGGTTTTCCGCGATCTTGGCCTCCGCCAGCTGGCTCTCCCGACGCAGGGCCCACTGCACCTCTGGGTTCCGTGCCAGCTCAAAGAGGGTCATCAGCAAGGGGTAGGCCGTCTGCGGGGGCGCGAGTGCAGTGCTGGGACCTGGGCCCTGAAGCGCCACCGCCCCCAGGGCCGCCTCCCACCTATGGGGATGGGTGCGCCCTGAGTGGGACCGAGCCCAGGGAGCTGAGACCTTCGGGTCCTAGAACCCAGCCCCCAACCCTGCGCCCGTCCCTCAGAGATGGTGGCCCCAGTCTCAGGAAAGACCCAGGCCGGGCCGCTTCGGGCCTGGGCCTCGCCATCATCTGGGCCCCAGGAGGGGCTCACCCTCGCCGCCTGCTTGGGGTGGGGTCTGGAGGCCAGTCCCTCTGCTCCCACTGGAGTATGTCTCCTGAGCATCTGCCGCCCGCCAGACCGCAGCCACTTCCCGCCACAGCCCCGGGGCATTTCCACGGGCAGGGGGGTGCATCCTCCAGCCCACCCTGAGATCCGGGCAACGGGTCATCTCCTAAGTCCCATCCCCATGGCAACGTGCCCCTAGTGCCTCCTGACCCACAGCAGCGACCTGTCTGTGCAGCCTCTGCTTCAGCCCACGCTGTACCCTGGGGCCCACGAGGGGCCCTGCGGGTGCAGGAGTCAGACCCTGATACCCAGCCCCACTCGGCCCCCCCCGCCTTCCCGTGCTGCCTGCTCTCGCGCCTGCTGGACCGCCGCCCTCCGAGCCACTCCTCATGCCTGTCTCGCTTCCCTGTGGTCCTTCCACCCGCAGCTGGAAGCCCTGCCTCCAGGAAGCCTGCCTAGAGCTGTCCCTGGGGGCCCTGCCCTCTCCCGGGCCTCCAGCCTCGCCACGGCATCTCAGCCTCTGCTCAGGCAGCTCCTGGGCACCAGCCTGTTGCCTCCACAGGATCTTTAAGGAAAGCCGAACGTGACCTGTCACCAGGCAAGGCACCCTGTGCAGCGGGGTGTCGGCCTCCCCCATTTTGCTAGGACCCTGACGGTCCGAATGGGGCCTGCACCGCATGTCCCCCGGCCTGGTCCTTCCACAGGCTGCTTGGCATGGTTCCCACCTGGGACTGCAGGGCTCCCATTCGCGGTCACTCCCACTTGCCCTCCCCTCAGAGCCTGCCATCCGTCCAGGGACAGGTCCCAGGCGAGACACCGTGGCGGCACAGACTGGGAGGGGCACGCAGGAGGGGCACGGGCTCGTGGGGACGCTGCCTGGGGTCATGTGGGCTCCTGCTCTAAGGGCAGGGCTGGCGGCCTGTCTGACCGTGTCCACGCTCCCGGCCGTGAGGTCGATGGAGCTGGCCTTAATGGCGTCGAGGGTCATGTCCGCGTGCAGGAGCAGCTCTGCCACCACGCCGCTGTAGTGCTGGGGGCGGCCGAGGGCCAGCTCCTGGTAGATTTTCTGGATGCAGTCGCTGGCTGTGGGCACAGAGACAGAGCCCTGGGCCTGGTGCTGGGAGCCACCGCCTCCCGAGGTCCCAGGGATCCGCCCTCTGCGCCCGGCTCCCTCCGCTGCCCAGCCCAGCCTCAGGGCCCGCTCGCTAGCTCGGGGACCGAGAAGCATCCCCGCCCTCACCATACTGGAAGATATAGTCCCAGGCAGCAAAGTGCTGCTCCCACACCGGGGCGCTGGTCCAGCGGGACAGGCCCCTGGGCATGAACATGAGCTGCATGGTGGACTTGAGCATGGCCTGCAGGGCGCGGATGAAGTGCAGGCTGGCTGGGCTTGGGCTCTGGCTGAGCAAGCCCAGCCGCTCTCCGAAAAGGACCAAGTTGCTGGCTGGGGGGAAGGTGGGGAGACTGAGCGTGCGGCGGCCCAGGGCCACATGGCACCTCCCGCCAGCCCTCCTTTCCCTTGGCCCTGGGCCCAGCGAGGTCCCTGGGACCCCGCACCTTCGAGGGTATAGTAGAAGATGCTGGGCTGGATGTCCACGGTCAGAGTGCCCCGGGCGTTCTGCAGCACCCTCGCCATCAGGGCCTTGGAGAAGTCCCTCGCCACCCTGTCCACCATGGGGGTGTACTTCTGGACAGCCTGCGGCGACATCACATCTGGATTCAGCCGCTGTCGGTCCAGGCGCCACGCGGGCCCATTTCTGCGGAGCACAGAGCGAGCCTCAGGGCACCCCGAGTCCGCAGCAGGGCCCCCGCTCGGCACCCCATTCTCTTCACCCCCAAAAGGAGCTGTCGGCTGTCCTGGGGGCACGCAGCTCACATCCCCGCCCTGCGGCACGCTGGCTCTCAGGGAGGCCCTCACGGGCCCTGCCTGGGGCTCAGCTCTGCAGCGGGGCCGATACCGCGCCTCTGCCTGAACGTGCCGCGTGGTCCCCTGCGTTTGCTTGTGCCCACGGCCGGCCCTGCGCCGGGCCCGGCACCGGCCCTTGTCGGTGTGGGGGCCCCTCCTCCGAGGAGGCTGCCATCTGCCCTGTCAGAGTTGTGGGCGCCCCACCGCCCTGGGGCCGCGGGGAGACCTGCATTCTCAGCCACATTGAAGCGCAAACTGCTTCTTGCCTCAGGCCGGCCCCCTGCCGGGGCTGGCAGCCATCACACACGCACACTTTGCCCGCAGGACGTGGGTCAGCACGTGCACACAGAAGGGTGCAGGGACACACACGGGCGTGCACGTGAGTGTGCAGCAACACATGCAAGAAGCACACGAACACAGACCAAAGAGAAACTCAAAACCACACACGTACATGCGGACACATGCACGCAGGCAACACATGGCACACACCCGCACAGAATGAACAAAGACCACACCCGTGCAAGCATGTGGTGCCCTCTGCGCACACATGTGAGCACACAAGCTAGCACACCAACATGGGCACACGCATCCCCTCACCCACATATAACAACATGGACACACAGGCACTCACCCACGCGCAGACAGCAACAGGCACAGGCACATCGGCTCAGTGGCTGCCGCCACAGACAAACACGGGTTCACCCACGCGCCTGCCTGGGGCTCAGCCCCTGAGCACAGGGCCACCCTCTCCAAGGCCCTGGGGCTCGGCCCTCCTAGGAATGGCTCGCCCCATGCAAGGCCCACGGGGCAGGCAGAGGGCTCCAGCCAGTGAGACGTGGGCCCTGGGCCAGTGACTCCCCGGCTCCGGGCTGGCTGCAAGGGCGCCCCGCCACGGCCCGCTCAGACAGGGCGCTCCCTCCCACCCCCAGGGCGGCCGAGCCCGCTCCCGGGCACGGCCCTGTGGCCTCACTTCCCCTGCTAACCCACCTGGGCCAAGGGCAGGCCTGCCGTGGGCCTCCGAGGCCGTGGCTCGTTTCTGCACCCAGGCTGCCCGTCCCCGCCCGCGCTCCGCACCCAGACTCGCCCTCACAGCAAGAACACGCCGTGTTTGTGCCCACGAAGCTGTCGGTGGGCCAGCCAGGGCTCCAGGATCATCCGATGGGGCAGAGAGCCCTCCGCCTGCTTCAGCCTCTCCACGTCCTCGGGCAGCATCACGCACACCATGTGTCTCCCTCCTATGTCATACCTGCAGGACAATGTCAGGGCCCCGCGGGCGGCCGCGCCCTTCCCGGGTCCCTCTGGGCCGACAGGTCCAGACTGTCTGCGGCTGACTGCGCCATCCCTGGCCTGGCTGCGAGCAGGCAGTCCCTCCTGCAGCCTGACCGGAGCCCCTGCGCGGCCCAGCCCTGTGCCTGCGCCGCCTGCCAGCAGCGAGCGCGGAGGGCTCCAGAACCGCATGCGGAGCGGAGCCAGGGGGTGGGGGGCCCCAGACACCCCACCGTGCGGCCCTACCCGCCGGCTTAAGGGCGCAGAGCACAGGCCCCCAGCCTGGATGCGGTAGTGCAGGGCGCCCGGCAGGGGCTGGGCGGCCACCAGGGCAGAGGGTCAGGGCTGGGGGGTGCCAGGGAGGGGGCGGCAGGCCTCACCTGAAAATGGGCCCCAGCTGCTGGAAGGTCTCCTGCATCTGCAGGTGCAGGTCCTCGCACCCGACCCGCCAGACCCGCAGCACCCGCAGCCACTCGCTGCCGGGGCACCGGGGGATGGCTTCGAAGGGCAGCACCGCCTTGGGGGCCGGAGCAGCACTGGCGGCCAGGGCGTGCGCCCAGCGCAGGCACAGCCGGGGCCCCGCCGTCCAGGCCCCTGCCCTGGCCCGGAGCGCCATGCCGTCTCCCTCCCCGCCCTCAGCCCGGCCCTTTTATCTCCCGGGAGGCCTGGCTGGCCCACTGACAACGTCATGGGAGAAAGTGTCCCTGGGCCAGGCCGGGTGCCCGGGGAAGGGGTCAGGGCTGCGGAGGTCAGGGCTGGAGGTGTCCAGCCGGAAGGAGAGGAAAGGAAGGGATGGGTGCCTCCCCCCGCAATTCCACAGGCCTGCCGTGGGCTGGGTGGGCGTCCAGGGCAGCTGCAGCTATGAGGCTGGGGGTGAGTTGGGCCGGGACGGACCCGAGGCCTCCCAGTCCCGTCCTCCCTGCTGGGTGAAGAGAGCGGGAGCAAGATGGATGAGCCTCTTATCTTATCCAGAGATGAGAGGGGGCCTTGGATATTTTAATCTCCTTGTCACAAGGCCCAGAGTAGGGAGGAGCGGGGCGGGCTGGGCGCTCACCTGCTCACCCCTGTGTTCCGCGGGCACGGCGCAGGCCTCAGGCTGGCCGCCGGGCGGGGAGACGGCAGCCAGCCGGGGTCTCTCCTGGGGAGCACCTTCAGCCCCTGGGGGCTGTTGGGGAGGTCCCAAGGCGGAATTGGGGGTGGCGCTGAGGCGGCCGGGGACCTGCCTCACCATCTGGTCCAGCAGAAAAGACTCGGGAGATGGGCTCGCTCCTCAGGCCGAAACGGGGGAGACGCAGCCGGCCTGGCCTGGCCCGGCCCGTGCCTGCCCCGCGGGCCTGTGCCGAGTGCCCTCGCCCCTTGCTGGTCCTGAAGCAGGCTCTCGGGGACGCCGGCGTGGAGCCTGGAGCCGTGGTTGTGGGCTCCCCACTTCCCCGGACTCTCCCCAGCGGGCACACAGCGGAGCCGACCCTGGGAGCGTGGACGGGGCCTGGGCTCCGGTGTCGACCTGCCAACGCCTGGCCACACTCCCCCAAAGTGGCCCTCGCCGCCCTCGTTCCCATTTCCAGACAAGGAGCCTGAGGCCCAGGGGTTCTGTGACCTCCCAAGGTCGCCGGGCGTGTGGCAGGGCCCCAGAGGTGTGCCTTCCGGCCCTGACCTTCCCTCGGGGCGGGGGCCTCGGAGGGGCTCGGCGCGGGCTCTGGGGGTAGGGAGCGCGGCCGGCTGAGCGGTGCTTCTTGCTTCACTCCGTTCCCACCCCCCCCACCCTCACGCTTCCTCGGGGACGGTTCAGGGGGGCGATGAGTCAGACCCCAGCAAGGTCGCTTCAGACGGTCGAGACGGACGGCGTGCCTCACTCAGCGTCCCTGCTGTCACCGCTGTCCTTGGCAGGGACGCAGGCTCGCGCGGAACCTGACCTTGCCTACCGTGCCCCGGGCCAGGCCCCGCCAGACGCCTCTCCTGCGGCCCGCCCTGCGTGTGTGCCCTCCCCCGACACCTTCCTGGCCTCCGGATCTGTGTTCGGGGCTCTTGGGGACATAGACACCTGCCAGCTTTCAGTGCCCTGTGCAGCCAGGCCCAAGGAGCTGGGCCGGGAGCCGGTCTCTCCTACCCAGAGGGGCCGCGGCACCGCGGAGTCAGCCCCAAGGCCAGAGCCTGGTTTTGAAAGCAGGGCCAGGTCCCAGAAGCGCCTCCTCGTGGGCACGTGGGAAACCCAGATGGGGCTCTGTGCCCCTGTCCTTGTCATCACTGAGCTGCCCGCCCACCCCAGATCTGGGGCGGCCTCCTGGGCAGAAAGGTGTCTGGGCTCCATGTTGAGCAGAGCCGGGGTGTCTTCTCCTCAGAGCTGTGAGCCAGCGCCCAGCCCACCCTCCGTCCTCCGAGTGCACAGAGGTGGCCGAGAGGGCGCCCCCAGCCCGGGGGAGAGTGGCGGCCGCTGCTGCGTGGAGAACACAGGTCCGAGGCGGCGCAGGGCAGGGCCTCTCCAGGCAGCCTGCGTGTGGTGGATGTTCCCCAGGTCCCCTGTCAGGAAGAGGGGGTGTCATGTCAGTTAAGGGGCGCCCAGGCTGCCTCCCATCTCTGCAGAGGAGCTGAGGAGTGTGGGCTTCTGGGAACATGGGGACGGGTCCCAGAGCAGCACCTCCCTGCTCACCCGGGGGCGGGGCGCAGTCTTCAGCCTGCTGGGCGGCCACGTGGACAGGGCCTCGTGCTCTGAGGGCTGTGGATGCACAGCGGGCAGGGCCCCTGGCCGCCCGGCGAGGCGCCGTGAAGACGAGGAAGCCCTGCACAGCAGCCCAGGCGGCGGAGGTGCCGTGGGCCTTCCAGCAGACACCCAGACGCTGCCCGCACGGGGCTCGTGCCCTAGCGCCGTGAGCGTGAGGGAGCTGACCCGCCAGACACACGCCAGACAGAGCGTGGGTCCGAAACTGCCCTGCGGCTCCTACGCTGAGCCAGGCCATCCGGCGGCTCCTGCGGGCGGCTCGGGGACGGAAAGGGGATTCTAAGGGCAGCCCACGGGCCTTCTGTCTTCCCTGTGGGACCAAGACCTTGGCCTGGCCTCAGGGGTCCCCTGGGTAAAGACTCAGTCGGTGTTTCTTGGATGAACAAAGGCACGCATTCCACGCAGGCCGCAAGCAGCCCTCCCGCTGCCCAGCGCCCTGTGCCCCTCCTTCCCCACGCGCTTCTTTGGTGCCCTGGACCCCATGGACCCTACAGGTGCCGCTCCAGGAGCCACACGCACGTCCGCACCCCTGTGCCCCTGCATGTCCTGTTTCCTCCCCGGGGCCATCCGCTACCTCTGGGACCGGGTCCCAGTCACTTCACCCCTATCCTCCCAGGTGTCCTGCACGTTTGAACATGCAAAGCTCACTGCCTGAGCTTGGGGTCTCATCAGCTAGAGCAGAGGGAGGGATGTGTGCGCGCCCGTGCCTGCATGCCTAGGCGTGTGCCCGTGTGCGCGCACGCGCCTTTGCCTCCTCCAGCTTCTCTCTTGCCACCCAGCTTGCCAGCCGGTGCGAGGGGCGGAGTGGAGGAGGGAAGCAGGTGTTGGTCAGCCTCGCTGTTGCACGTGGAATCCGTGCCCCTAGGCTGGTAAGGCGCTGAGGCCGCGCTTCCCCGGCAGCGCCTCTGCTGTGGACATGTGGCCTGTGGCGCCCTTGGTCCGGCCCCACACACCTCTCTTCCAGGCGGCCATTGAGAAGCCTCTGACAGCCGAGGACTGGCGAGCTGTGTTTACCCCGCTGGTGGCTGTCTTGTCCCTCCATCCCCCTGGACAGCCTGCGGAGCAGGTGGCAGGAGGGACCCGGGCCAGTGCTCTGCCCCAGGGGGCCTGCACACTGTCCCCTGAAAACACCGGCGCGTCTCCCGCCCCGACACCATGGACGAAGCGCGCTCCTTTCAGTCAGTATGTACCTGAGGTCTATTTTCACCCCCGTGACTCAGCCTCTCCGTAGCGTGGCCTCCAGGTGTGTCAGCCTGGAGGGAAAACGGGGCAGAGGGAAGGGGGCCCGCGCGCTGCCGGTCCGTGTGTGCACTGGCGTGGCCGCCCTGCAAAGTGGTACGTGGGCTGCTGAAAACTGAAACCAGACTTACCATGGGATCCTGAAATCCTGCATCAGGGAACTCAGCCAAGGAAACGAACAAGGGTATAGAAAAAATGCCTGTCCCCACGTTCCCTGTGGCGTTACTCACAGTTGCCAAGAGATGGAAGCCACCTGCGGCCTGCCCACGGCTGGACGGGTGACGAAGGCAAGGACATGGTCCGTGTGCACGGTGGCACGTGACTCAGCTCTTAGGGGGGCTCCTGCCGGTCGCAGCAGCACGGGGGCCTGGAGAGCACTATACGGACCAAAGCAAGCCAGACGCGGGACAGATGGTGTATTTTATCACCCGCGTGGGGAGCCAAAGCAAGCTGAGCTCAGAGACAGAGAGCGCGGGTGGGCGGCCAGCGGGCGGTGCGGAGAGGGTGGCCACAGGCCTTCCCTCCGGCGTAGGAGGAGTCAGCCATGGGGACCGCAGCGCTGCGAGTGTAGTTAGCAATGCTGAATTACACACGTGCGGGTCGCTACGAGCGTAGACAGTAAACGTTCTCACCAGAAAAAAAAGACACAGTAACAGCGTAACGGGTGTGGGGCGTGAGGCGTCATCAGCCGATGCGGCGGCGGTGTCGGTTTGTGTTATGTTAGCTCAGCAAACGCACCCCGGAGCTTACACGTGCCCTATGAAAAGTATGTGCCACTCTAGTGGGAGAGGACTGGTTTCCTCCAGCAGCAACAGAAGGGAAGACATTCTCGTTTCAGACGTTTTGTGAGAAGCACAGTCCATTCCCTTTGGACCCGTCACCACGTCTGGGTCTCCTGTCAGAGCAGTGAGGGGCACTGGCAACGTCACGGCCTCCTGGCACCCACGGAGCCCGGAGGCTGGCTGGCGTCACCCCGCCACCTCGTGTGCAAGCCCCACCCAGTCTGGATGCTCGGGTTCTGTCCTCCAGGTTTACTGGGTGCCGTCTGACTCGGGGTCCTTTCTGTCCTGCCGGGGACCGCGCTTCCCCTCCCTTCAGACGGCAGGAGCTCGGGGAGCTCTGCCAAGAGCGGGGCCCCTGGGCAAAGGGAGGGCCGGCAAGAGGTGGCCGCTCCTGTGGCATGGGGGGTCCTCTAGGGCGACCATGTTCTGGCGGTAGGTAGCGGTGGGGGCCGCACTGCATTGGGAACATAGCAACACACAATCGCTTGCTCCCTTTTAAACGATACGCTTTATGTTCTGCAAGTGTTATCTCAGTAACTTAAAACCGGGTGTCGATGTAAAGAGTGCGGAGGGGAGACCACAGAAAAGGCAGGCGCCCTCTCCGCCCCGCGGGCCTTCTTTCCGGCAACACACGAGGCGGTGTGTGCTGGCGGTGGCCTGGGTGCTCCCTGCCCTGCCCAGGCCTCCCCAGCCTGGGGCCCCTCACCCTGCTCAGGGGTCCGTGCTGCGGACGCATTCCATCACCGCACCAAGCCACGCAGTTCCTGCAGAGAGCCCGTCCGACCCACCCAGGGACACGGGACAGTCGCCAATGGCTGTGAGTCCTAGTCACCCACACAGGTTCTGTTTCCCACACCCCAGCCCGGGGGCTGCTGGGAC